TATCCAAAATTTAAAAAATAATACTTTCTTTCTTAGTTGCCATGGAAACCACACATTAAACTATTGGAATTGCCCTGAAATCCAGTCTAAATACATTCTAAGGTTGTTACTAACCTATTTTATACCTGTTACCTACTGTAGAGCAGTTTTTCAACTGGTACCAAGCCTTTTAAAACAGCTGAAATCTCACCTACAAGCCCACCCAAATTACCTCCCTTTACGCACCCCAGATGAAATTTAAATAAAATCATTATGAACAAGTTTCAATGCGTTTTATATGAATTTATAGCAATTATGTACAGGATTAAATTTAATCAAACATAGTTAAGCACATTTTACATAGTTTAATTTAATTAATGTGTTATAAGGTAGCAGGAAACAGTTAATTTGCATTTTTCTTAAAATTATTGGTCATGTTTGAGATATTAAGGTATAGCAGTTTGGTTATGAAAAATACATCATTACATGTATATATATTTATAAACTACATAACAATTACATTAATAGTAGAGAGATAGAATTTGTATCAATCAAAAATTTCCCCTGATTTCTGACATGTGATTGCCATGGTTACGAACTGAAAAAATGCTAAAAATGCAAAAAAATACTGCTTATTTCAACCTAACACTACAACTTTATAAAAAAAAATGTATTTCTGAACATCTGTCTGTCAACAACACTGTCATGGTAACATACTACTTACATTCAGCAAATTCACAACTCAGAAATCCTTCATAACATGACCACATGTAAGCACTATGAAAATTTCACTTCCTGTAAAGCTTGTTTTTGGAGCATAGACACAAATTCGAGACTGCCCAAATAGTTATTTCCAACACAAAACTAACATATTATTCTGAAAAAGAAAACCCCAAATTGCCCACTTTAACATGACAAAACCAATTTTAACAATGATTTGTTTTTTAAATTTTGATTAAAACCTTTATAATGGGGTAATTCAATTAACAAAAATTTCACCCATGGCCACATCAAGAAACTGTGTATTGCTACCTGAGGAGATTTCTGAACAAAATTGTTGAATGCCAAAATACAAAGGGCAATAACTCTCTCAAACAGGAGGCCCAATGGGCCTGCAGTACCCACCTGATATATATCTACCAGTCAAATATCATGCCTCTAGGTGTTTTAGTTCAGACATGGACAAATCTGATGCCTGTGACCATGAATATAAGTCAAGGTGCTTTTTTCACAAACTTTGTCAGGCTTTATCCTAGAAAAATACCAACCAGGTGAGATAAAATGCTAAATCAAACCTTTCTGGTCTGTCCATGTGACTACCCCAGTTTCCCATACCTTACTGTCTTTGGACTCCTTCAAGGTCATATTTATCTACACTTGGCCACCTTGAATTCCTCCACCACTGACGACGATGGCAACTGTATTTGAGATGTCTTGCAGTAATGTCCTGCCACTGTGAAACATGGTGGTACACCCAGCCATGATCGCAGCTTCATGTTGTACATATCCCAAATGATTCAACTGCTGTCAGTAGCAACTCATACAGCACAACAGTCCAAGACAACCTAAGAAGAACACCAAGCCTTGAATTTCCCAGGCAGTCCTGATTTATCAATTCTATTTAGCTGTTCTGCTATTTGCTTCCCGACCTTACCCACTTCTTGTCGAACATGGTGTCATCATACCATCTCCCTAAGCATTTCACAGGGTTGTTGAGATGGTATCTCCTCCTCCTGGTCTCAAATGGAGAACTGTTCTGTCAACTGCGTCTTCTTGATGATCTTGCACCATGATTTCTTCAGCTTAAACTTCATCCGAGCCCATTTCATGACGTCATCCAGTGCAGATAATATCCACATGAACATGGGTCGTTGTTGTAATAGTCAGGTCATCCATGAACTTTCTGTTCGATGGTTAATAGATTTCAAGTTCATTCTCAGCCCTCTAGGCTCTCTCTTTGCAGCTTTAATGTTGATGTTAATACCCATCACAAACAGAATAGGTGACACTGTACCAGTTGTCACCTTCTCCAAACCCTGCCATGCTGTGGTGAAGCTATTTGTGGTGAACGTCAGCTGTAACCATCAAAGCACAGTCAACCCTGGTTATATTGAAATCCTTTGGAAAAGATATAAAAAATTAAAAATAACCCAGGTTTCAATATAACTGGGGACAAGCTTCTTAGACGTTGTTCACCATTCGATGAACATGTTATTGATGTGTATGATAGTGTAAGGCATACATAAAATGCTTGTACATGCAACAGACAAAATACAGTATATTTGCATTTAAATCTAATCTTGAACAGTTTAATGTTTTAATTTTTCAGATCTGCCCATATTGCTGCCAAGTAGTGTACTCGGATTGATTCTGAAATCTCTTGCAGTATCATTTTAAGCATTTTCCTTTCAATTAACAGATCAAATCAGTTCATCCTTTTCATCAATCATAAGTTGTTAACGTAATTTACTGGAGGAAGCGATTACAACTGCTGTTCTGTTTTCTATTCTATTGAAGACTGACTTAAACATGGCCTCATTAAATCTCTGACTGAGCAGCAGTGGCTGCTTCGAAGGCCTAGAAATAGCTAAAAGGGTGTAATACACAGCAAGTACCCATTTTGTATTTTAATAATTAATATTCATTTTAGAAAAAGTTCAAAATCATGTCCTAGGACTTTAAAAAGATTATCAAAATACAACACAAATGAAGAGTACACATTGCTGTAAGACATATTTTAGAAAAGGTTCAAAACAGTGTCCTATGTCCTTGAAAAAGATTGTTAAAAAACACCACATAAATGCATATTACTTTAGGACAGAGACAACTGCCAAAGAGTTTCAACACGACCTTACTTCTAACTAATGAATTGTAAACCTACCAACCAATGGGAGTCAGTTTACCACTAGTGTTCATAGTGTAACAGTTACAACTCAAATACATTAAACAGGGAAAACACAAACTAAGGGAGACAAATCCTGATTAAATGAGACACAAAGAAGATTGTACACCAGACATACAAGTTAGTAGAACAATATTAATACAATTTAGTATTTAGAATGAGATTTTTCATTTACCACAGATCACATTCCCCAGATTAAAATGCACTACTACTGTATTAATCTTTAGTGTTCAACAATGCATTTAGCAATAAAATGTTTAATGAAGAAGAATATGTAAAACCTTTTACTTGATAAAGAATGATAAATATGTCTGGTTACGGCCACGTGTAGTGTAGTGTAATCAACATGTCTGGTTACGGTCACGTGTAGTGTAGCGTAGGGGAATGAACTGTCTGGGTACGGCCATGTGTAGTGTAATCAACATGTCTGGGTACGGCCACGTGTAGTGTAATCAACATGTCTGGGTACGGCCACGTATAGTGTAATCAACATGTCTGGGTACAGCCACGTGTAGTGTAATCTACATGTCTGGGTACGGCCACGTGTAGTGTAATCTACATGTCTGGGTACGGCCACGTGTAGTGTAATCTACATGTCTGGGTATGGCCACGTGTAGTGTAGTGGAATAAAACATGTCTGGGTACGGCCACATGTAGTGTAGTAGAATCAACATGTCTGGGTACAGCCACGTGTAGTGTAGTGGAATCAACATGTCTGGGTACAGCCATGTGTAGTGTAGTGCAATCAACATACCTGGGTATGGCCATGTGTAACGCACCACAATCAACATGTCTGGGTACAGCCACGTGTAGTGTAGTGCAATCAACATGTCTGGGTACGGCCACGTGTAGTGTAGTGGAATCAACATGTCTGGGTACAGCCATGTGTAGTGTAGTGCAATCAACATACCTGGGTATGGCCATGTGTAACGCACCACAATCAACATGTCTGGGTACAGCCACGTGTAGTGTAGTGCAATCAACATGTCTGGGTACGGCCACATGTAGTGTAGTGCAATCAACATGTCTGGGTATGGCCATGTGTAGTGTAGTGGAATCAACATGTCTGGGTACAACCATGTGTAGTGTAGTGGAATCAACATGTCTGGGTACAACCATGTGTAGTGTAGTGGAATCAGTGGTCCAAGGGAACTCAAGTTATTGTCTGGTGAAGTAAACAAATGGAATGATGGTGTGACGATTGGTTGGATAATTACATATATAATTACTATCATTTCACACGTGACCTTGACCTCAAAGGGATCTGAAATACATATTCAAAGTATGGGAAATAAATCCAATTATACTAATCAATCCTGAAGTGCCTAAGCCTGGGTTATTGAACCAACACGAATATATCGGTGAGACAGTGTTGAAAATGTCTGTCACTCTACTGACTGTGTATGTTATTCTTCACCTCAATATCTCGATGTAGATGTAGATGCCTCAAATGGTAAAGCTCTGGAATAGGCCTATACCTTGATCAATTGGAACATATGTATAAAAGTATAAAAAGAGCAGGACAGTGTGACTTGAACACAGAGTTGAAGACTTTTCGATCTCTACCCTACCACTCGACTAAAGAGAAATCCCCAGTAGCCGAAACTAGTAAAGCGATTTGTACACTCAACTGTACACTTAAAATTTAGGCCTAATTGGTCATCTTCCTAACCTACATTGCATGGTTAATTAAGCACGTGCACGGATACACAACGCAAGGACATTTTCAGCAAAGGAACCAAATTGAATGAAACACCAGGACTTAACCATCCAGACAAAGCACATGCACTTGCATGGATAACTTTATTTTTGTTCGCGTTGCTCACGTTCCAGATGCATGTGCCCGTTGCCAACAGCAGTGCAGATCCATCGCCTAGCTTCGTCTGTCAATATCTGTGGTAATCGTATGGGTCTCGGACATGGACAATGAAAGTGGTGCGTCCATAATTTCACGAGTTCCATATCGTACCCTGTTAAATAGTCACGTCGACCATCTACCTGTGAAATATGTTTAGCGTAACAAAATCGGCGTTCAAATTACCCGCTACCTGTCAATTACAAAACCGGAAATGCATGATTGCGACATAGTCACGTGATGATACGTCATTGTCCAAAATGGCGAATGTCAACATGGGAAGCGTCATATGATAGCTCTTAGGTGAGAGGTCCAATCATCAATGTTGTTGTTATCTCCTTAATGACAGTACATAAAACTGATGTATTTATATATCATACTTCATCACACAGATATATCTGCTGGAGTTCGGCACTGATTTGGATTATGTTATGTTTTCTTGTTTCGATAAATTCAGAATTATTTAACTTTCTGTACCAGAATCAAGCGTGATCGTAAGTTTTTTCGCAATTTAATCCAGCCTAAAATGTAAATAATCAGGGAATTTTGTAACAGGTACGCGTTATGGCATATGTTCCTCAAATAATACATAGGTTCTATGTGTTTCCTTTGTACGTATATCTTTCATATTTACAATGGCGTATTACTCCATCTACAAGACATGTAATAGACATAAGACAAATTTGACCTCGTATCAATTTAACCGAGGGTTTGGTTACATAACAAAAGCTGATGATAGAGAAAGATACTATTTTAATTATTTCAAAACTTGAATAGAACGTATGTAATGTGACATATCATTATTATTGATATTTAACAATAATTTATTTCAGGTTTGATCGGCCCAGTTAAAATTTTGGACAGACATCATTAAGTGCCTTTGAACTGCAAGACTCTTTATTCAGTACATACAGTAATCAAAATGTCTAGCACACAAACATCTTTAGTTGCAAGTCTGGTACACACAATCAGTGCCCATACATCTGATATCAACTGTGTGGCTTTCTCTACCGACAATAAACTTGCCACCAGTTCCGGTGACAAAACTACACGTCTTTGGGATGTCAATGACTTCAGTGAACTCTCCAGTTCTCCATTGTGTGGTCACACATATTATGTACATTGTTGTGCATTTTCTCCTTTTGGGACAACAGTAGCAACCTGCTCTACTGATGGTAAACTGATTCTTTGGGATGTACAGAATGGAAAAAAGTTGGCAATGTTACAACATCAGAAACAGAATGGTATACGTGTGTGCAGATTTTCTCCCAATTCCAAGTATCTGATATCAGGAAGTGATGATGAAACTGCTTGTTTGTGGAATGTGCAACATCACAAATTGCTCAGGTACTGATTTAATGATTAGTAAATTGTGTTTAGTTTTTTTTACTTGAATCAGCATCCTACTTTACCATTCTATTGACTTACTTCATCATGTTAATGATTGTGTTCTGATACATTGTATATATATGACTGTGAGTAGATAACAAGAGAAAGTATACATACGTTTCATTTGTTGAAAACTTAGATTTGTGGACATGCTATATTTTTGGTTTTTGAAAGATATGTACCCATATAATAAATTCCTTGTAACCCATGATCAGGTAAAGCAGTGGTGACACGCTTGCCTTTCACCAAGCTATCCAGGGTTTGATCCATAGGACAGATGTGATAACGCATGGAGTTAACTTTCAGACCAGAGGGGTTTTCCCTAGGTACTGCTGTTTCTTCCCACAGTAAGACCCCCTCATGCTTCCATCCAGGTCAACTACAGGGATTTATTTCAGTTTAAAGCTAGTTGTCAATTGTTTTAAATAAATAATGTTTATATTTATTGATACCAAATGCTTTTACTGTTTCTGTTTTTTCAGAACCTTTTCTGAACATGAAGCATCGATTGTTGGATGTGCTTTCTCCCCAGACAGCAACTATGTGGTGACTGGTTGTTCAAATGGCAACCTGCGTGCCTGGGATACCAACCACGGACACATCAAACACTTAGCCTACATCCTGGAAGGTCATGACCTTGGAGTGACATGTTGTGATTTCTCACCAACTTATGGATCTGCTCGTGGTAAGAGAGATGTCTGACACCTGTTTTACAGGACGTTTTTATGGTGAAATTGTGGTACACTGTAAGCCTATTTATCTGTATCACTCCACTGTAACCTTCCCTGATATGACACACTGTATCACTCCACTGTTACCTTCCCTGATATGACACACTGTATCACTCCACTGTAACCTTCCCTGATATGACACACTGTATCACTCCAATGTAACCTTCCCTGATATTACACACTGTATCACTCCACTTCTCTGATATGACACACTGTATCACTCCACTGTAACCTTCCCTGATATGACACACTGTATCACTCCACTGTAACCTTCCCTGATATGACACACTGTATCACTCCACTGTAACCTTCCCTGATATGACACACGGTATCACTCCATTGTAACCTTCCCTGATATGACACACTGTATCACTCCACTGTTACCTTCCCTGATAAGACACACTTTATCACTCCACTGTAACCTTCCCTGATATGACACACTGTATCACTCCACTGTAACCTTCCCTGATATGACACACTGTATCACTCCACTGTAACCTTCCCTGATATGACACACTGTATCACTCCACTGTAACCTTCCCTGATAAGACACACTGTATCACTCCACTGTAACCTTCCCTGATAAGACACACTGTATCACTCCACTTCCCTGATATGACACACTGTATCACTCCACTGTAACCTTCCCTGATATGACACACTGTATCACTCCACTGTAACCTTCCCTGATATGACACACTGTATCACTCCACTGTAACCTTCCCTGATAAGACACACTGTATCACTCCACTGTAACCTTCCCTGATAAGACACACTGTATCACTCCACTTCCCTGATATGACACACTGTATCACTCCACTGTAACCTTCCCTGATAAGACACACTGTATCACTCCACTGTAACCTTCCCTGATAAGACACACTGTATCACTCCACTTCCCTGATATGACACGCTGTATCACTCCACTGTAACCTTCCCTGATATGACACACTGTATCACTCCACTGTAACCTTCCCTGATATGACACACTGTATCACTCCACTGTAACCTTCCCTGATATGACACGCTGTATCACTCCACTGTAACACTCCCTGATATGACACACTGTATCACTCCACTGTAACCTTCCCTGATATGACACACTGTATCACTCCACTGTAACCTTCCCTGATACTACACACTGTATCACTCCACTGTAACCTTCCCTGATATGTCACTGTATCACTCCACTGTAACCTTCCCTGATATGACACACTGTATCACTCCACTGTAACCTTCCCTGATATGACACACTGTATCACTCCACTGTAACCTTCCCTGATAAGACACACTGTATCACTCCACTGTAACCTTCCCTGATAAGACACACTGTATCACTCCACTTCCCTGATATGACACACTGTATCACTCCACTGTAACCTTCCCTGATATGACACACTGTATCACTCCACTGTAACCTTCCCTGATATGACACACTGTATCACTCCACTGTAACCTTCCCTGATATGACACACTGTATCACTCCACTGTAACCTTCCCTGATAAGACACACTGTATCACTCCACTGTAACCTTCCCTGATAAGACATACTGTATCACTCCACTTCCCTGATATGACACGCTGTATCACTCCACTGTAACCTTCCCTGATATGACACACTGTATCACTCCACTGTAACCTTCCCTGATATGACACACTGTATCACTCCACTGTAACCTTCCCTGATATGACACGCTGTATCACTCCACTGTAACACTCCCTGATATGACACACTGTATCACTCCACTGTAACCTTCCCTGATATGACACACTGTATCACTCCACTGTAACCTTCCCTGATACTACACACTGTATCACTCCACTGTAACCTTCCCTGATATGTCACACTGTATCACTCCACTGTAACCTTCCCTGATATGACACACTGTATCACTCCACTGTAACCTTCCCTGATATGTCACACTGTATCACTCCACTGTAACCTTCCCTGATATGACACACTGTATCACTCCACTGTAACCTTCCCTGATATGACACACTGTATCACTCCACTGTAACCTTCCCTGATATGACACGCTGTATCACTCCACTGTAACCTTCCCTGATATGACACACTGTATCACTCCACTGTAACCTTCCCTGATATGACACACTGTATCACTCCACTGTAACCTTCCCTGATATGACACGCTGTATCACTCCACTGTAACACTCCCTGATATGACACACTGTATCACTCCACTGTAACCTTCCCTGATATGACACACTGTATCACTCCACTGTAACCTTCCCTGATACTACACACTGTATCACTCCACTGTAACCTTCCCTGATATGTCACACTGTATCACTCCACTGTAACCTTCCCTGATATGACACACTGTATCACTCCACTGTAACCTTCCCTGATATGTCACACTGTATCACTCCACTGTAACCTTCCCTGATATGACACGCTGTATCACTCCACTGTAACCTTCCCTGATATGACACACTGTATCACTCCACTCTAACCTTCCCTGATATGACACGCTGTATCACTCCACTGTAACCTTCCCTGATATGACACACGGTATCACTCCACTGTAACCTTCCCTGATATGACACGCTGTATCACTCCACTGTAACCTTCCCTGATATGTCACACTGTATCACTCCACTGTAACCTTCCCTGATATGACACACTGTATCACTCCACTTCCCTGATATGACACACTGTATCACTCCACTGTAACCTTCCCTGATATGACACACTGTATCACTCCACTGTAACCTTCCCTGATATGACACACTGTATCACTCCACTGTAACCTTCCCTGATATGTCACACTGTATCACTCCACTGTAACCTTCCCTGATATGACACACTGTATCACTCCACTGTAACCTTCCCTGATATGTCACACTGTATCACTCCACTGTAACCTTCCCTGATATGACACGCTGTATCACTCCACTGTAACCTTCCCTGATATGTCACACTGTATCACTCCACTGTAACCTTCCCTGATATGACACACTGTATCACTCCACTGTAACCTTCCCTGATATGACACACTGTATCACTCCACTGTAACCTTCCCTGATATGTCACACTGTATCACTCCACTGTTACCTTCCCTGATATGACACACTGTATCACTCCACTGTAACCTTCCCTGATATGACACACTGTATCACTCCACTGTTACCTTCCCTGATATGTCACACTGTATCACTCCACTTCCCTGATATGACACACTGTATCACTCCACTCTAACCTTCCCTGATATGTCACACTGTATCACTCCACTGTAACCTTCCCTGATATGACACACTGTACCACTCCACTGTAACCTTCCCTGATATGACACACTGTATCACTATTTCCTGACAGAATTTATTTCATTTCCACTTGAGCATTCCTACACTTACAACTTAACATCAGCCTAAGTTGGTTTCCTAGGTGTAATTCTCCCCAAGGAATAACTTAATATTCACACATACATGATGTTAATATTCCACTTTGTACTGAAATCATGTTGTTACAGAATTTATGTCATTAACCAGTTCCAAAGGAAACCAAACAAACATTTCCTGACCGGATGTCAGGGTGTTTGCAAGTGATCATATTACATGCATTTACCAACAGGTCTGTTGGAATTTTGATTAGTGGAACTTAATAAATACAATTTTTTGGTTGTTAATGTTATATAAGAATCGTGTCCATATAAAATGATGGGCCCACCTTTATAGTGCCATCATTGAAATGTCATGACCTGGGTTTTTTCACCATGATAAATCATATATGGTCAAATATGGGTTCCATTCCCATTAGTAAAACCTCTTCACTTATTTTTCCCTATCCAAGCATTAACATTCATGAAGGGATGGTAGTTTAGAAAATTGTAAATATCTCTTAATTGTATTGTCAAATGTACAATTAGTTAAAATCTAAATGTGGGTTTTGATGGTATATTTGCTTTAGCAAAGTACATGAGCTACACAAGAAAGATATGAAATTATGAATAACCCTGATGAAAACTGGCAGCATTATGTCCCTAAGCTAGAGATAACTTATCTTTAGCTCAATCAGTTGAGCATCAGACTAGTAAGCCAGATGTCCCAGGTTTGAATCCTAGCAGATGTATTGAAATAGATAATTACTCATATTACATATGATTAGAACATGCTTGCTTTGTTATTTTTTCTAATTTGAGATTTTGTTTTACTTCTTCTCAGATTTAAAGTCGTGGACCCAATTCTTAAAGGAACAAAAAAAACTGAGCAGCATGACCCCACACACAGTCACATGACACCACATGCTGACACATGACCACACACACAGTCACATGACCCCACACACAGTCACATGACACAGACAACAGGTTAATTAGTCCTTATGAAATTGTTTTTTCAGAGGTTTATAAAGATGGCAGTATCTGGTTCCTATTGGGGACCTGCGGACAAGACAGTCTGGTCAAGCTATGGGTGTTCCATACACAACTGGGCAGTACAAGTGAGTGTGTTTTTTTCTACAGAATAAATGACATTTAACAGAGTTACATCTAGACTTGGAGAAGAGATTCCAACATGCAAAAACACAATGATTTAGGCTTAAGAATGTGTAGATTTGAGTTAGTCTTCTGGTTTTTTGGTTGAAACTACTTTTATCAAAGTTTGAAGCAGACATTTGTTTTGGACACTTAAATCCTTTATGTCTTGACAGCCATCTTGTTTCTGTTAGTCATCTCAGCAAAATCTAAGGCTGATGTGATGTGTTGAGGTTGAAAGAGGTTATTTTAGTTACAATGAAACATTCAGAATATTTTAAATATGTGTTGTTCAATCAAAACAACAGATTTTATTTATAAATAGTTGACCTCGATAGAAGTGTAGAGGATTTCTTCTGAAAATAAAGCATCTCAGAAACATTGCGTCTTATTTCTTACAGAACAAAGAGAAGTCTTGACAAGTTCATTCCCATCTCGTATACTGTGAAGTTGAAGGGTATGCCTCTGTGTAACCCTCTTGAAGGTGACAGAGTAGTCATCCAATCATTACACATTTTATAAATAATTGTAATATAAAAACATCTTTACAATATATAATACCAACCTGAAGAAAAGTTTACATACACATAAAGAATTTTTTTCCCTTTTGCAGCGGTCAATTTGACAGAAGTACACAAATTAGTTGGACACAGTGGCCCTGTCATGTCCTGCTGTTTCTCACCAAACGGTCAACTTCTTGCATCTGCGTAAGTCTACTACAAGTTGAATGACACTGTTTCTGTCTTTGATTTATCTAGACCAAAGGGCCCCTGATTTATCTAGACCAAAGGGCCCTGATTTATCTAGACCAAAGGGCCCTGATTTATCTAGACCAAAGGGCCCTGATTTATCTAGACCAAAGGCCCCTGATTTATCTAGACCAAAGGCCCCTGATTTATCTAGACCAAACTGCTCCTAATTTATTAAAGGGGAAATAAAACTGTATCAACAGTGAGTCAGGGCCTGCTAGGGCCTGAGGGGGGTCCAAATGGGGAAAAGATATCATTTCTTTTAAAATCTATTTTGTTCTTCAGGAATTGCAGGATATTTGGTCTCAGATGAAGGGGAATCAATTTTGTATAAAGGGTGAGTTTGACCCCCTGGGGTGGGAGGCATAGTGGTCATTAGGGGAAATAGAGCAAATTCTTAAAAGTCCTTCTCCTCATGTAAAAATGTTTGGATTTTGCCCATATTTGGTGTAAATCATTCTTGGGCAAAAAAGAATCAGTTTTGTAAAGACAATGGGTCATGACTCTCTGGAGCGGAAAGGGCTGTGTCCAATAGGGGAAATAGAGGAAATTCTTCAAAATTCAACTCCTTCTATAGGAATGTTTTGATTTTGCCTCAATTTAGTTTGAAGGATTTTTGGTTAAAGAGGAATCAATTTTGTATAAACAGTGGGTCTCAGCTCCAAGGAGGAGGGGGGCATTAGGGTTAGTTCATTCTTTAAAATCCTACTCCTTCTGTAGGAATGATTAAATATGCCCATATTTGATATGAAACAATCTTGGGTGAAGGGGAGTCAGTTTATATAGATGGTAGGTTTTGGCCCCCTAGGAGGCAGGAAAGGCAGAACCAAGAAGGGAAAATAGAACAATTCTTTAACAACTAACTGCTCCTTTAGGAGCATTTGAATTTTGTGCAAATTTGAGCTGAAGCATCATTTGGTTTTTTATAAACATTGAGTCTCAGCCCCCTTGTGGCTAGACTCTGCTGATAAAATGTTCCACAAGATCTCCTGTCCAGATCACATGTGTTCCACATGTTCTCATGTCTAGATCACATGTGTTCCACATGTTCTCCTGTTTGGATCACATGTGTTCAACATGTTCTCCTGTCCAGAACAAATGTGTTCCATGTATTCTGTCCATATCACATGTGTTCCACATGTTCTCCTGTCTGATCACATGTGCTCCACATGTTCTCCTGTTTGGATCACATGTGTTCAACATGTTCTCCTGTCCAGAACAAATGTGTTCCATGTATTCTGTCCATATCACATGTGTTCCACATGTTCTCCTGTCTGATCACATGTGCTCCACATGTTCTCCTGTTTGGATCACATGTGTTCAACATGTTCTCCTGTCCAGAACAAATGTGTTCCATGTATTCTGTCCATATCACATGTGTTCCACATGTTCTCCTGTCTGATCACATGTGTTCCACATGTTCTCCTGTCTAGATCACACATGTTCCATGTGTTCTCCTGTCCAGATCACTTAATATCTATTTATTGTTTTGTTTCAGATCAATTGATAAAACCATCAGACTGTGGGAGCCTGTAAGTATAACATCAACAATGAAGTTAAGAGTTGTATATAAACAATACCTTCTTGTCTCTCCCACCTTTCTCCTAGCATCTTGCCACACACCTTTACCTCTTTCTTTTCCTCCCTGTTGCACTTTATCCAAACCTCTCCCCTCTCTAGTGGTTCTGTACCTTTCCCTCTATGTCACCTTTTCTCTTGTCACACCATCCCCATGTCATACCTCTCGTAATCCTTTATTCTCGTACCCTCCCCTATCAAATATACCCTTTCCTTTGTTAAACCCTCCCCACACCATTTCCATGCCACACACTCCCTTCTTGCACCCCACTTTCTGTCAAAACCTTGCCTTTCACATGATGTGATATTAAGTGCAATCCTGAATGTTTACTGCTTAATCCATACTGAAACATGACATTAAGTGATATATTAAGTGGAGATGTGAATATTTAATCTTCATTCCAAACTGAAGCATGTGACATAAAGTGATGGGATGCTTAGTGGAGAGTTGAATATCAACTTCAAACATTTTCAAGTTTTGAATTTTAACTGTTAAATCTGAATTGAAACTTGATATGAAGTGATATGATATTAAGTGGAGATCTGAACATTTTCTGTCATATTGTACTGAAATACAACAATAAGTGATGTGATTTTTTAAAAGATATCTGAATATTAACTATCACATCACTGAAATCCTGAATTTTTACAGTTAAATCAAAACTCATGAATTTTTATTGTTATTCCATAACATGACAATAAGTTGTGATATTAAGTGAAATCCTGAGTACTAAAATATTAGATCCATACAGTACATGACATTATGTGTGATGCCGATAAACTGACTTCTATTATTTCTTGATTTTGAACTTTCACCTTGATATCATCATTATTCTGTTGCAATTGTTAGTCATACATCATGTTAAATTATGCTGAAATCTTTCAGGCAACTGGAAGCTCACTGCACATAATATCTGGACATTCACGGTAAGACTGATAGAAATAAAACAACTGTTACCGCTGATAAAAGGGTGTGGAGGATAACTATATGTAGACTGATATTTGAAGCTTGTTTATCACAATTCTACAATCCAACTTTTGAAGTCAAAAGCATTTACATGGTTGGGTATTCAGAAAATGTATCCTTTTGACTTGTACTAGTACCTAAAGTATGAAGTATAATTTTGTAGATATGTGACCTGTTGTGCCTTCTCCAGCAACAGTCAATTCCTGGCTTCTGGATCAAATGACAAGACTGTTTTAATATGGAAGATCACTACACAAGGTGAAGCCATTGGTAAGTTTACACTGAAGTATCACAACAGGAAGTAAAGCTGTTGGTAAGTTTACACTGAAGTATCACCACAGGAAGTAAAGCTGTCGGTAAGTTTACACTGAAGTATCACCACATCAGGTGAAGCTGTTGGTAAGTTTACACTGAAGTATCACTACACAAGGTGAAGCCATTGGTAAGTTTACACTGAATTATCACCACATCAGGTGAAGCTGTTGGTAAGTTTACACTGAATTATCACCACATCAGGTGAAGCTGTTGGTAAGTTTACACTGAATTATCACCACATCAGGTGAAGCTGTTGGTAAGTTTACACTGAATTATCACCACATCAGGTGAAGCTGTTGGTAAGTTTACACTGAAGTATCACCACAGGAAGTAAAGCTGTCGGTAAGTTTACACTGAAGTATCACCACATCAGGTGAAGCTGTTGGTAAGTTTACACTGAAGTATCACTACACAAGGTGAAGCCATTGGTAAGTTTACACTGAATTATCACCACATCAGGTGAAGCTGTTGGTAAGTTTACACTGAATTATCACCACATCAGGTGAAGCTGTTGGTAAGTTTACACTGAATTATCACCACATCAGGTGAAGCTGTTGGTAAGTTTACACTGAATTATCACCACATCAGGTGAAGCTGTTGGTAAGTTTACACTGAATTATCACCACATCAGGTGAAGCTGTTGGTAAGTTTACACTGAAGTATCACTACACAAGGTGAAGCCATTGGTAAGTTTACACTGAAGTATCACCACATCAGGTGAAGCTGTTGGTAAGTTTACACTGAAGTATCACCACAGGAAGTAAAGCTGATGGTAGGTTTACACTTAAGTATCACTACATTAGGTGAAGCTGTTGGTAAGTTTACACTGAAGTATCACCACATCAGGTAAAGCTGTTGGTAAGTTTACACTGAAGTATCACAACAGGAAGTAAAGCTGTTGGTAAGTTTACACTGAAGTATTACCACATCAGGTGAAGCCATTGGTAAGTTTACACTGAAGTATCACCACATCAGGTGAAGCCATTGGTAAGTTTACACTAAAGTATCACCACATCAGGTGAAGCTGTTGGTAAGTTTACACTGAAGTATCACCACAGGAAGTAAAGCTGTTGGTAAGTTTACACTGAATTATCACCACATCAGATGAAGCTGTTGGTAAGTTTACACTGAAGTATCACCACATCAGGTGAAGCTGTTGGTAAGTTTACACTGAATTATCACCACATCAGGTGAAGCCATTGGTAAGTTTACACTGAAGTATCACCACATCAGGTGAAGCTGTTGGTAAGTTTACATTGAAGTATCACCACAGGAAGTAAAGCTGTTGGTAAGTTTACACTGAAGTATCACCACATCAGGTGAAGCTGTTGGTAAGTTTACACTGAAGTATCACTACACAAGGTGAAGCCATTGGTAAGTTTACACTGAAGTATCACCACATCAGGTGAAGCTGTTGGTAAGTTTACACTGAAGTATCACCACATCAGGTGAAGCTGTTGGTAAGTTTACACTGAAGTATCACCACAGGAAGTAAAGCTGTTGGTAAGTTTACACTGAATTATCACCACATCAGGTGAAGCTGTTGGTAAGTTTACACTGAATTATCACCACATCAGATGAAGCTGTTGGTAAGTTTACACTGAAGTATCACCACATCAGGTGAAGCTGTTGGTAAGTTTACACTGAATTATCACCACAGGAAGTAAAGCTGTTGGTAAGTTTACACTGAAGTATCACCACATCAGGTAAAGCTGTTGGTAAGTTTACACTGAAGTATCACAACAGGAAGTAAAGCTGTTGGTAAGTTTACACTGAAGTATTACCACATCAGGTGAAGCCATTGGTAAGTTTACACTGAAGTATCACCACATCAGGTAAAGCTGTTGGTAAGTTTACACTGAAGTATCACCACAGGTAGATAATCTTAAGGCTGACCAGGACTTTATTGTTTGGTAGATAATCTTAAGGCTGACCAGGACTTTACTGTTTGGTAGATAATCATAAGGCTGACCAGGACTTTATTGTTTGGTAGATAATCTTAAGGCTGACCAGGACTTTACTGTTTGGTAGATAATCTTAAGGCTGACCAGGACTTTATTGTTTGGTAGATAATCTTAAGGCTGACCAGGACTTTATTGTTTGGTAGATAATCTTAAGGCTGACCTTGACTTTATTGTTTGGTAGATAATCTTAAGGCTGACCAGGACTTAACTGTTTGGTAGATAATCTTAAGGCTGACCAGGACTTTATTGTTTGGTAGATAATCTTAAGGCTGACCAGGACTTTATTGTTTGGTAGATAATCTTAAGGCTGACCAGGACTTTACAGTTTGGTAGATAATCTTAAGGCTGACCAGGACTTTATTGTTTGGTAGATAATCTTAAGGCTGACCAGGACTTTATTGTTTGGTAGATAATCTTAAGGCTGACCAGGACTTTATTGTTTGGTAGATAATCTTAAGGCTGAGGAGGACTTTACAGTTTGGTAGATAATCTTAAGGCTGACCAGGACTTTATTGTTTGGTAGATAATCTTAAGGCTGACCAGGACTTTATTGTTTGGTAGATAATCTTAAGGCTGACCAGGACTTTATTGTTGGTAGATAATCTTAAGGCTGACCAGGACTTTATTGTTGGTAGATAATCTTAAGGCTGACCAGGACTTTATTGTTGGTAGATAATCTTAAGGCTTACCAGGACTTTATTGTTTGGCAGATAATCTTAAGGCTGACCAGGACAGAAGAGCTTTGGATGAGCAGAGCTATATGACTGTGAAGCCTATAGCCCAGTGGACAGTGGAGGATGTTTGTAACTGGTTAAGTACAATCGGAATGGGGCATTACACAGACAACTTCAAGTCTAATGACATTGATGGCACAGAGTTGGTCAACCTCAACAACGAAATGCTCGTCTCATTGAGAATTGGTGAGTGGAATCTAGTTCTGGGTATGTAATCTAGTTCTGGGTATGTAATCTAGTTCTGGGTATGGAATCTAGTTCAGGGTATGTACTCTAGTTCTGGGTATGTAATCTAGTTCTGGGTATGTATGTAATCTAGATCTGGGTATGTAATCTAGTTCGGTATGTAATCTAGTTCTGGGTATGGTTCTGGGTATGTAATCTAGTTGTGGTTATGTAATCTAGTTCTGGGTATGTAATCTTGTTCTGGGTATGTAATCTAGTTCTGGTTATGTAATCTAGTTCTGGGTATGTAATCTAGTTCAGGGTATGTAATCTAGTTCTAGTTATGTAATCTTGTTCAGGGTATGTAATCTAGTTCTGGGTATGTAATCTAGTTCTGGGTATGTAATCTAGTTCTTGGTATGAAATCTAGTTCTGGGTATGTAATCTTGTTCTGGGTATGTAATCTAGTTCAGGGTATGTAATCTAGTTCTGGGTATGAAATCTAGTTCTGGGTATGTAATCTAGTTCTGGGTATGTAATCTAATTATGGTTATGTAATCTTGTTCAGGGTATGTAATCTAGTTCTGGGTATGTAATCTAGTTCTGGGTATGTAATCTAGTTCTGGGTATGTAATCTAGTTCTGGGTATGTAATCTAGTTCTCGGTATGTAATCTAGTTCTGGGTATGTAATCTTGTTCTGGGTATGTAATTTTGTTCTGGGTATGTAATTTTGTTCTGGGTATGTAATCTAGTTCTGGGTATGTAATCTAGTTCTGGGTATATAATCTAGTTCTGGGTATGTAATCTTGTTCTGGGTGTGTAATCTAGTTCTGGGTGTGTAATTTTGTTCTGGGTGTGTAATCTAGTTCTGGGTATGTAATCTTGTTCTGGGTATGTAATCTAGTTCTGGTTATGTAATCTTGTTCTGGGTATGTAATCTAATTCTGGTTATGGGAATCTTGTTCTGGGTATGTAATCTAGTTCTGGGTATGTAATCTAATTCTGGTTATGTAATCTTGTTCAGGGTATGTAATCTAGTTCTGGGTATGTAATCTAGTTCTTGGTATGAAATCTAGTTCTGGGTATGGGAATCTTGTTCTGGGTATGTAATCTAGTTCTGGGTATGTAATCTTGTTCTGGGTATGTAATCTAGTTCTGGGTATGTAATCTAGTTCTGGGTATGTAATCTAATTCTGGTTATGTAATCTTGTTCAGGGTATGTAATCTAGTTCTGGGTATGTTGTTCAGGGTATGTAATCTAGTTCTGGGTATGGGTATATAATCTAGTTCTGGGTATGTAATCTAGTTCTGGGTATGTGATCTTGTTCTGGGTATGTAATCTAGTTCTGGGTATGTAATCTTGTTCTGGGTATGTAATCTAGTTCTGGTTATGTAATCTAGTTCTGGGTATGTAATCTTGTTTTGGGTATGTAATCTAGTTCTGGGTATGTAATCTAGTTCTGGGTATGTAATCTTGTTCTGGGTATGTAATCTTGTTCTGGGTATGAAATCTAGTTCTGGGTATGTAATCTTGTTCTGGGTATGTAATCTAGTTCTGGGTATGTAATCTAGTTCTGGGTATGTAATCTAGTTCTGGGTATGTAATCTAGTTCTGGGTATGTAATCTAGTTCTGGTTATGTAATCTTGTTCTGGGTATGTAATCTAGTTCTGGGTATGTGATCTAGTTCCGGGTATGTAATCTAGTTCCGGGTATGAAATCTAGTTCTTGGTATGTAATCTAGTTCTGGGTATGTGATCTAGTTCTGGGTATGTAATCTAGTTCTGGGTATGTAATCTTGTTCTGGGTATGTAATCTAGTTCTGGTTATGTAATCTAGTTCTGGGTATGTAATCTTGTTTTGGGTATGTAATCTAGTTCTGGGTATGTAATCTAGTTCTGGGTATGGTTCTGGGTATGTAATCTAGTTCTGGGTATGTAATCTAGTTCTGGGTATGGTTCTGGGTATGTAATCTAGTTCTGGGTATGTAATCTAGTTCTGGGTATGTAATCTAGTTCTGGGTATGTAATCTAGTTCTGGGTATGTAATCTAGTTCTGGGTATGTAATCTAGTTCTTGGTATGTAATCTAATTCTGGGTATGTAATCTAGTTCTGGTTATGTAATCTTGTTCTGGTTATGTAATCTTGTTCTGGGTATGTAATCTAGTTCTGGGTATGTAATCTAGTTCTGGGTATGTAATCTAGTTCTGGGTATGTAATCTAGTTCTGGGTATGTAATCTAGTTCTGGGTATGTGATCTTGTTCTGGGTATGTGATCTTGTTCTGGGTATGTAACCTAGTTCTGGGTATGTAATCTTGTTCTGGGTATGTAATCTAGTTCTGGTTATGTAATCTAGTTCTGGGTATGTAATCTTGTTTTGGGTATGTAATCTAGTTCTGGGTATGTAATCTAGTTCTGGGTATGTAATCTAGTTCTGGGTATGTAATCTAGTTCTTGGTATGTAATCTAGTTCTGGGTATGTAATCTTGTTCTGGGTATGTAATCTAGTTCTGGGTATGTAATCTAGTTCTGGGTATGTAATCTAGTTCTGGGTATGGTAAGGGGTATGTAATCTAGTTCGGGGTATGTAATCTAGTTCTGGGTATGTAATCTAGTTCTTGGTATGTAATCTAATTCTGGGTATGTAATCTAGTTCTGGTTATGTAATCTTGTTCTGGTTATGTAATCTTGTTCTGGGTATGTAATCTAGTTCTGGGTATGTGATCTAGTTCTGGGTATGTAATCTAGTTCTGGGTATGTAATCTAGTTCTGGGTATGTAATCTAGTTCTTGGTATGTAATCTAATTCTGGGTATGTAATCTAGTTCTGGGTATGTGATCTAGTTCCGGGTATGTAATCTAGTTCCGGGTATGAAATCTAGTTCTGGGTATGTAATCTAGTTCTGGGTATGTGATCTAGTTCTGGGTATGGTTCTGGGTATGAAATCTAGTTCTGGGTATGTAATCTAGTTCAGGGTATGTAATCTAGTTCAGGGTATGTAATCTAGTTCTGGGTATGAAATCTAGTTCTGGGTATGTAATCTAGTTCAGGGTATGTAATCTAGTTCTGGGTATGAAATCTAGTTCTGGGTATGTAATCTAGTTCTGGGTATGTGATCTAGTTCTGGGTATGGTTCTGGGTATGTAATCTAGTTCTGGGTATGTAATCTAGTTCTGGGTATGTAATCTAGTTCAGGGTATGTAATCTAGTTCTGGGTATGTAATCTAGTTCTGGGTATGTAATCTAGTTCTTGGTATGTAATCTAATTCTGGGTATGTAATCTAGTTCTGGGTATGTAATCTAGTTCTGGGTATGTAATCTAGTTATGTAATCTTGTTCTGGTTATGTAATCTTGTTCTGGGTATGTAATCTAGTTCTGGGTATGTAATCTAGTTCTGGGTATGGTTCTGGGTATGTAATCTAGTTCTGGGTATGTAATCTAGTTCTGGGTATGTAATCTAATTCTGGGTATGTAATCTAGTTCTGGGTATGTAATCTAGTTCTGTATGGTATGTGTTCTGGTTATGTAATCTACTTCTGGGTATGTAATCTAGTTCTGGGTATGTGATCTAGTTCCGGGTATGTAATCTAGTTCCGGGTATGAAATCTAGTTCTGGGTATGTAATCTAGTTCTGGGTATGTGATCTAGTTCTGGGTATGGTTCTGGGTATGTAATCTAGTTCAGGGTATGTAATCTAGTTCTGGGTATGTAATCTAGTTCTGGGTATGGTTCTGGGTATGAAATCTAGTTCCGGGTATGTAATCTAGTTCTGGGTATGAAATCTAGTTCTGGGTATGTAATCTAGTTCTGGGTATGTGATCTAGTTCTGGGTATGGTTCTGGGTATTAAATCTAGTTCTGGGTATGAAATCTAGTTCTGGGTATGTAATCTAGTTCAGGGTATGTAATCTAGTTCTGGGTATGTAATCTAGTTCAGGGTATGTAATCTAGTTCAGGGTATGAAATCTAGTTCTGGGTATGAAATCTAGTTCTGGGTATGTAATCTAGTTCTGGGTATGGTTCTGGGTATGAGATCTAGTTCTGGGTATGAAATCTAGGTCTGGGTATGTAATCTAGTTCTGGGTATGGTTCTGGGTATGTAATCTAGTTCTGGGTATGTAATCTAGTTCTGGGTATGAAATCTTGTTCTGGGTATGTAATCTAGTTCTGGGTATGGAATCTTGTTCTGGGTATGGAATCTAGTTCTCAGTATGTAATCTAGTTTAATATTTAATATAATTTGAGCTGGAGTATCCTTGGCCTACATATTTACCATAGTATATAAAGGTTTTCCAATGTAAGCAAGTCAATAAGTATTATTAGTATAGGATTTGATCCTGTGTATGTATTGACCCCAGCTGACCTCTTAAATCATATCAAGTCTTACTATCATTTATTTCTCTTTTATGACACAAAAGCTACTTACCCTGTAACCTACACATTCAATATTGATTTTCTCAGGTGACTGTCAAGGCCACTAGGCCTCTTTGTTTTATTCAGAATTTCATTGCTTAATGTTAAACCCAGAAATCAGTAATAATTTTTCCATTCCAGATGCACTCGGTCATAGAAACAAGATCCTTAGAGCCATGAAGTGCATCAGTGTGAAAAATGAACAGTCTCTAAAAGACCCAGGTAATATATTTTATCTTTATATTTTATCTTTCTAAATGTTGATCAGTAAGATGAAAGTGTGAGCCAGAACACACACAGATACAGAACACACACAGAGCCAGAACACACAGTGAGCCAGAACACACACAGAACCAGAACATACAGAGCCATAACACACACAGAGCCAGTCGACCTGGCAGCAGGTTTGATCAGTACTTTTAGCCTTTTTCATTTCAGCGAGAGAGGAAGGGACGAAGATGGCAACTGCCATGCACTACAGTCCTGATTATCATATAATAGTAGTTCTTAGAAAGGTAAATCTGCGTTGTAGCATTTTATTATTTATATATGCAAAATGTTCCTGGGGGGTAAAAGAGTACCTAATTGGCCTTTATAAATAGGATTTATACTTGTTAGGCCTTTATAGACAGTGTTAACATTGGATTGGCATTTAAAGACAGGGTTTACACTTGATTGACCTTCATAGACATTGGTTACACTTGATTGACCTTCATAGACATGGTATACACTTGATTGACCTTCAAAGACAGGATTTACACTTGATTGACTTTTATAGACATGGTTTAACACTTGATTGACCTTTATAGACAGGGTTTACACTTGATTAACCTTCATAGACAGGGTTTACACTTGATTGACCTTCATAGACATGGTTTACACTTGATTTACCTTCATAGACATGGTTTACACTTGATTTACCTTCATAGTCATGGTTTACACTTGATTTACTTTTATAGACAGGGTTTACACTTGATTGACCTTCATAGACAGGGTTTACACTTGATTGACCTTCATAGACATGGTTTACACTTGATTTACCTTCATAGACATGGTTTACACTTGATTGACCTTCATAGACAGTGTTTACACTTGATTGACCTTCATAGACATGGTTTTACACTTGATTGACCTTCATAGACAGGGTTTACACTTGATTTACCTTTATAGACAGGGTTTACACTTGATTGACCTTCATAGACATGGTTTACACTTGATTGACCTTCATAGACAGGGTTTACACTTGATTGACTGTCATAGACAGGGTTTACACTTGATTTACCTTTATAGTCAGGGTTTACACTTGATTGACCTTTATAGACATGGTTTACACTTGATTTACCTTTATAGACAGGGTTTACACTTGATTGACCTTTATATACAGGGTTTACACTTGATTTACCTTTATCAACAGTGTTAATATTTGTTGGCCTTTAAAGACAGGGATTACCCTTTAGTGGCCATTTTAGACAGGGTTTACTGTATTACCCTCAGTATATCTTTTTCCTGTTTCCTCAGATGCTGGCATTCCAGATGAGTACCTGTGTCCAATCACCAGAGAGGTGATGAAAGACCCAGTCATAGCTGAGGGTAAGTGAGGGGTACCTCAATAGCAAATCAGGCATGTATCTATATACCTGAGAGTTAATTTTTGGCACAATCATGTACCTGGTGGTAAGTAAGTGGTACAACCATGTACCTGGGGATAAGTAAATGGCACAATCATGTACCTTGGGGTAAGTAAGTGGTACAACCATGTACCTGGAGGTAAGTAAGTGGTACAATCATGTACCTGGGGGTAAGTAAGTGGTACAACCATGTATCTGGGGGTAAGTTAGTGGCACAACCATATACCTGTGGATAAGTAAATGGCACAACCATGTACCTGGAGGTAAGTAAGTGGTATAACCATGTATCTGGGGGTAAGTAAGTAGTACAACCATATACTTGGGGGTAAGTAAGTGGCACAACCATATACCTGGGGGTAAATAAGTGTTACAACCATATACCTGGGAGTAAGTAAGTGGCACAACCATGTATCTGTGGGTAAGTAAGTGGCACAACCATGTATCTGGGGGTAAGTAAGTGGTACAACCATGTATCTGTGGGTAAGTAAGTGGCACAACCATGTATCTGGGGGTAAGTAAGTGGCACAACCATATACCTGGGGGTAAGTAAGTGGCACAACCATGTATCTGGGGTAAGTAAGTGGCACAACCATGTATCTTGGGGTAAGTAAGTGGCACAACCATGTACCTGGGGGTAAGTAAGTGGCACAACCATGTATCTGGGGTAAGTAAGTGGCACAACCATGTATCTTGGGGTAAGTAAGTGGCACAACCATGTATCTGGGGGTAAGTAAGTGGCACAACCATGTACCTGGGGGTAAGTAAGTGGTACAACCATGTATCTGGGTGAAAATAAGTGGTACATCCATGTATCTGGGGGTAAGTAAGTGGCACAACCATGTATCTGGGGGTAAGTAAGTGGCACAACCATATACCTGGGGGTAAGTAAGTGGGTGAAAATAAGTGGTACATCCATGTATCTGAGGGTAAATAAGTGGTACATCCATGTATCTGGGGGTAAGTAAGTGGCACAACCATGTATCTGTGGGTAAGTAACTGGCACAACCATGTACCTGGGGGTATGTAAGTGGCACAACCATGTACCTGGTTGTAAATTAGTGGCACAACCATGTATCTGGGGGTAAGTTATTAGATGGTGGGCTATTTAAGTCAGTCTGCTTTTGTGGTCCGTCTGTCCATTCGTAAACAACTTTTGTTATCGCTATTTCTTGAGAAGGACTGGATGGATCTTTCTCAAATTTCATATGTAGGTTCCCATTGACCTATGATTGTGCCTATGTAATTTTGGGTCTGATAAAAAAAATGGCTGACATCCGGCCATCTTGTATTTTAACTTTAAAAGTTTGTTATTGCTATTTCTTGAGAATTACTGGATGAATCTTTCTTAAATTTCTTATGTATGTTCCACTTTGTCCCTAGTTGTGCTTCTTTGATTTTAGGTGTAATCAGACAAATGAAGTGGCCAACAGCCAACCATTTTGGATTTTGACTTTGCAAGTTTGTTATTGCTCTTTCTTGAGAACTACAGTATATATCTTTCTCAAATTATATATATAGATTCCTTTTGGTCCCTATTTGTGCCCATCTAATTTTGGGGATGATAAAGAAACAAAATGGCTAACATTTACGTTTGCTTTTGGGACTGATCAGAAGAAACAAAATAGCTTCCAGGTGGCCATTTTGGATTGGGCAGGTAAAGATTATCACCACTATTTCTGCAAAGAAATGTTCAAATGTCTTATTATTAAGAGCAAAAACAGAGAAGAGAAAAGAAGGGAAAATATCCAACTTTCAAAAAGCATATATAAATGTAACAATGGAGGGTGCCCAGATCCCTCTGGGGTCTCTTGTATATTTCCTAAATGCTGATATAAACATCATGTTGTAGTATATATATATCAAAGATTATAAGGTTGGTTTGGCAGGGTTTTCCCTGGGAACCTCAAATTCATGAAGTGTAAGAGTCAGGGCAATCACATCTTATATGAAATAGAGTAAAACTTTATTAATGTTGGGAGTTCTTTGTCAATTTAAGGAAATTAAAAAGAAGTTTTTGGAGGGTGTGGGAAAACCCAAGTTTTGTTGTTGATCCAGAAGTGAGGATCCTATAAATATGCTTAAATCTAATTCTCAAACATTGTCCTGTAGATGGGTACACTTATGAGAGAGAGGCCATCACAGCATGGACATCCAAAGGCAAAGACAGAAGTCCAATGACCAACGCCATATTGTCCACTAAACAGCTCACTCCAAACCGCAGTCTAAAGATGCTTATACAACGTCACCTGAATGGATAAAAACCCAACTATTACAGACTTGGATTATTATTAGGAGTTGCCACTGTATTTATGGATATGCTCAGTGTCAAAGTTTTTCCTTTCATCTTAGTATTTTTTGTAAGTTCCTGGGACTTGAAGGTTTTAAAGTTTTGTCACAATCTGAAATTTTGACTCATCCGACAAAAGGCTGAAAGAATGGATGCAAAACCCATTAAGAAATAAATACATGAAAGTCAGGAGTCTGTTCAAATCTCGTTAGCTTCTAACGTAGTCACATTGATAGGCAAGATGCCATTAATTGGGGTCACATTTGCAGTTAAAATGACATGTTGGAGTCACAGCTGTCAAGATATCTCCTGCTGTCGTGTGTATATATATAGATGTTAAGAACGACCTTGTCATCAACTTGTTTAAATACTGATATGACTTGTGCTGAGAGGACCATTTTAAAGCTTTATTTGTAAATATTGATACTAATTTACCTCCAGGATATTAGTGACGGAGTTCCTCCTCGTATTCTGATGGTTTTATAGCCCCAGGATCATAAAACATTCCATTAATTATCTGTGAACATTTGTGTATAATTAAGAATTTACGTATTTAATTTTCTATAATTCTACACTCATACTATAGTTTGATAAAGAATGAAAACTAGAGAATGCTGTTCCTGTTTCAATCACTGGCATGTCTTAGGAGCTTTATGACCCTGGAGCTATTTATAAACCCAGCTGTTATTAGGCCAGTTATTTCTATGTTAAATGGCCATCAGATATTATTTTATGAAGTGAAGAGTCTGTTTTATTAAGAATTTCTATTGTTTCACTACGTAAGTTTGTACAAAGGGTAATGTGTAGTATCGTGTTTCTCAACCAAAGTATAATGTTAAAAATCAAACTTCCCTGATGATATTTTTTTATGATCAAATTGGATATTTTAACTCAGAATTGTTTTTAACATTTATAATCAAATTGAAACACGGTTGTTATTACTGTTAGTAGAAATGAATCACTTTAACGGCCCATTACAGTTTGATGTAGATATGCGGTACAATAACCTTTACAGACACATATGTGTTTAGAAAATACATTTGTTTAGAAGTGCTTTATGATGTACAGCGTACATCCCCTTGGTTGTGAGAATTATGCTGATGTTAAGATGAAATCTAGCAGGATTGTGTTGTGCACACCATAGATGTGTGATGGTATAGTACTACAGCAGTGGCGATGTGTTGCTTTATTAGCCGCTTGTATCGTGGAATAGAAGATCAATATTTGTAATTAAATTAATCTGAGGTAGATGCCAAGACCAGTATCATACTTTCTTTTTACATGTTTATCTACAAGTATAACCAGGAAGTGTTTTATAAACCACAGAATCATGTAGAGACATCCAGGTCACTCCAATCATGTTATCAGCTAAAGATAAGATGACCTGGAGTTTGTGAAACTCATTATTTGTGCAAGTGTTGTTGTCTTTTGTTGTTGTTGTCTTTTTTTGTCTTTTTTATAAAATCAGAACAAGTCATTCAAATAACTAAAAAAAGTGTATAACTTGTATAAGTAATTAATCTTTTTAAAATTTTGTTGTTTTTTATTGTGTGATTAGAAACAGAATTTAGTGTCTAATCAAAATAATCTTGGTGTTAAATATGTAGAAGTAGGATCTCCTGTTATACACAGTATTTTATACACTTTATTTTATATACCTGTAACTGACATATAACTATTTTCTGAATTAAAAGCAAATTAAGCAGGTGTTATAGGAATAGAAATCCAATTATATCATGATCTGTAAGATTTATATATGTAGAAATCCAATGTTATCTGTTATATAACACAGATTTTGTATATATAGAAATCCAGTGTGATCTATGGTCACATTACACAGGTTTTTGTATATATAGAAATCCAGTGTGATCTATGGTCACATTACACAGGTTTTGTATATATAGAAATCCAGTGTGATCTATGGTCACATTACACAGGTTTTGTATATAGAAATCCAGTGTGATCTATGGTCACATTACACAGGTTTTGTATATATAGAAATCCAGTGTGATCTATGGTCACATTACAAATGTTTTGTATATATAGAAATCCAGTGTGATCTGTCATATTACACAGGTTTTGTATATATAGAAATCCAGTGATCTATGGTCACATTACACAGGTTTTGTATATATAGAAATCGAGTGTGATCTGTCATATTACACAGGTTTTTGTATATATAGAAATCCAGTGTGATCTATGGTCACATTACACCGGTTTTATATATATTGAAATCCAGTGTGATCTATGGTCACATTACACAAGTTTTGTATATATAGAAATCCAGTGTGATCTGTCATATTACACAGGTTTTTGTATATATAGAAATCCAGTGTGATCTATGGTCATATAAAAAAGTTTTTTTCAAATATAGATAACCAGTGTATGTTGAAAGTCAGTGTTATCTTATCAGATTAACTTCATTGAAAATTTGGACTGTAAAAACACTAAACTAAAAATCCATAGATTATATGGTAATGGTGTGTGAACCTGATCCAGTTATAATGAAGACTTGTGTTCACTAAATGGTGACAAACTTTCTGTGATAAAATTGTTTTACAAACTGCTCTGAACGGACAAAAGTTATGTTCATTCATGAAAATGTTAACATTGTAAGAGATTTCATTTCCCCTGAAAAGTTTTTTTCATGTTAAGTGAATTTTGTATTATCTGGAATTCGAAAATAAAAGTCATTTTCAAAGTGTAAATCTGTGAAGTATTTCTGTTTATCATTTAACATCAGGAAGGAATAACAAAATGAGATTTACTAAACACCTGGTGACATCATACATTAAAACACAAGATTGTAACCAATGAGTTTTACTAAACACCTGGTGACATCATACATTAAAAACACATTTAGATTGTAACATCATACATTAAAACACAAGATTGTGATTTACTAAACACCTGGTGACATCATACATTAAAACACAAGATTGTAACCAATGAGATTTACTAAACACCTGGTGACATCATACATTAAAACACAAGATTTTAACCAGTGAGATTTACTAAACACCTGGTGACATCATACATTAAAACACAAGATTGTAACCAATGAGATTTACTAAACACCTGGTGACATCATACATTAAAACACAAGATTGTAACCAATGAGTTTTACTAAACACCTGGTGACATCATACATTAAAACACAAGATTGTAACCAATGAGTTTTACTAAACACCTAGGGACAGATGTTAAAGAGGTAAAGGTCACCTCCAAGCCAATTTGGATGTACAAAACAATAAAGAAAATGTTAATTTTTCAGAATTTTATTTTGCATTTTAAAAAAATGACATGAACAATATATCATGAAGGTTGATGGAAAATAAAAGGAGAAAAGAAACAAGACTGAACATTTGATGATTTAGATGTGTAAACAGAAACAAACAGGGATTTGTTGAAAGGCAAAAATTACAATGTAACCAAAAATTCTTTCAATATTTAAAATATTGATCAAGGTAAAAGACAACTTTAACTTAGAACATTTCCCAATGACTGTGCTGTAGATGGTCACATCAGGAAGACAATTACATTTTAAAATTTTGTTAAATAGAATAATTAGAAAACACAGTCATATAATGATCAGAAAATAAATTAATCATTAAAACATCTCATTGACGCCAGAAAAACGAAATCACCAGAAATTAAAGTCCTTGTTTTTTGAGAAAAATTGAAAAGATTTAAAAGGTTAATGTTCCCACTCATTACATGATCGTATCATTGTCTCGTTGAAGTTGTCAAATATGACCTTTAGCCTTAACCAAATGTGAAATAATATGCTAAAATGGCACAGATGATGAATTCCTATAAGAAATAGTGTTGATGTTATTGTTAACACACAAGTCAGTTGAATGTATACAATTTTAAACTAGATTTATAGTGTAATACAGGAATAAATTGAGCACTAGATTTTTTATACTTCAAACTGATGGATCAATATTAGGTATCACAAATGTGTTGTCTCTCGCCTGTGTAGAGATAATACTTACAACTTCATCTGTAACACAATATGTCTGTTACTATGGACACTGTAATGAGATACAAGTATCTGTGGTACTCAATCTCTAATGTCACAGGTATTACAGATCTGTTCATTGATATTTCACTATCTGGAAATAATCTACTGTCAAACCCACAATTCACCATCCAAATTTTTTTTAATCAATGGAAATGAGAGAGTTCCATTTCAAAGGGAAGCAACTCCTGATCTATGGTTGAATCACCTTGTTGGAACATCAAATTGTAACCTAACAGTAAAAGTTCAACCATGTGTCACATGACTACAATGAAAGTATGATCATGTGTCACACGACTACAATGAAAGTATGATCATGTGTCACATGACTACAATGAAAGTATGATCATGTGTCAAATGACTACAATAAAAGTATGATCATGTGTCATAAGGCTAAGATTAGAGGTCCACATGTGTATAAAAGACTTTATATTACCACAGAGGTCCACATGTGTACTAAGAGACTATATATTACCACAGAGGTCCACATGTGCACTTTGAGACTATACAGAACCACAGAGGTCTACATGTGTACTAAGAGACTATATAGCACCACAGAGGTCCACATGTGCACTTTGAGACTATACAGCACCACAGAGGTCTACATGTGTACTAAGAGACTATATAGCACCACAGAGGTCCACATGTGTACTAAGAGACTATATATTACCATAGAGGTCCACATGTGTACTTTGAGACTATACACCACCACAGATGTCCACATGTGTACTATGAGACTATATATTACCACAGAGGTCCACATGTGTACTAAGAGACTATACAGCACCACAGAGGTCCACACGTGTACTAAGAGACTATACAGCACCACAGAGGTCTACATGTGTACTAAGAGACTATATAGCACCACAGATGTCCACATGTGTACTATGAGACTATATATTACCACAGAGGTCCACATGTGTACTAAGAGACTATATAGCACCACAGAGGTCCACATGTGTACTAAGAGACTATATAGCACCACAGAGGTCCACATGTGTACTAAGAGACTTTATATTACCATAGAGGTCCACATGTGTACTAAGAAATTATATATTACCATAGAGGTCCACATGTGTACTAAGAGACTATATATTATCACAGAGGTCCACATGTGTACTAAGAAATTATATATTACCATAGATGTCCACATGTGTACTAAGAGACTATATAGCACCACAGAGGTCCACGTGTGTACTAAGAGACTATATAGCACCACAGAGGTCCACATGTGTACTAAGAGACTATATATTACCACAGAGGTCTACATGTGTACTAAGAGACTATATATTACTACAGAGGTCCACATGTGTACTAAGAGACTATATACCACCACAGAGGTCCACATGTGTACTTTGAGACTATACAGCACCACAGAGGTCTACATGTGTACTAAGAGACTATACACCACCATAGAGGTCCACATGTGTACTAAGAGACTATATAGCACCACAGAGGTCCACGTGTGTACTAAGAGACTATATAGCACCACAGAGGTCCACATGTGTACTAAGAGACTATATATTACTACAGAGGTCCACATGTGTACTAAGAGACTATATACCACCACAGAGGTCCACATGTGTACTTTGAGACTATACAGCACCACAGAGGTCCACATGTGTACTAAGAGACTATATACCACCACAGAGGTCCACATGTGTACTAAGAGACTATATAGCACCACAGAGGTCCACATGTGTACTAAGAGACTATATATTACCACAGAGGTCCACATGTGTACTAAGAGACTATATATTACCACAGAGGTCCACATGTGTACTAAGAGACTATACAGCACCACAGAGGTCCACATGTGTACTAAGAGACTATATATTACCACAGAGGTCCACATGTGTACTAAGAGACTATACACCACCACAGAGGTCCACGTGTGTACTAAGAGACTATACAGCACTATAGAGGTCCACATGTGTACTATGAGACTATACAGCACCACTCATTAACTATAATCGGATTAATACAACTCTTTCTAAAACAATATACAAAGGTTAACATAAGATATATTTATAACACAATAGCATGCTTGTCTCTAAAACATCCTCACATTTACCATGTAAACAACCAATTACAGTTGAACCTGTGGAATCAACATTTCATCAACTCCACCATTGTCTTACACTGAATTCATTCCAACTCCACCACTGTCTTACACTGTTCATTCCAACTCCACCACTGTCTTACACTGAAGTCATTCCAACTCCACAGTTGTCTTACACTGAATTCATTCCAACTCCACCAATGTCTTACACTAAATTCATTCCAACTCCACCAATGTCTTACACTGAATTCATTCCAACTCCACTACTGTCTTACACTGAATTCATTCCAACTCCATTGTTGTCTTACACTGAATTCATTCCAACTCCACCACTGTCTTACACTGAATTCATTCCAACTCCACAGTTGTCTTACACTGAATTCATTCCAACTCCACTATTGTCTTACACTGAATTCATTCCAACTCCACCACTGTCTTACACTGAATTCATTCCAACTCCACAGTTGTCTTACACTGAATTCATTCCAACTCCACTACTGTCTTACACTGAATTCATTCCAACTCCACCGTTGTCTACACTGAATTCATTCCAACTCCACCACTGTCTTACACTGAATTCATTCCAACTCCACAGTTGTCTTACACTGAATTCATTCCAACTCCACTATTGTCTTACACTGAATTCATTCCAACTCCACCACTGTCTTACACTGAATTCATTCCAACTCCACAGTTGTCTTACACTGAATTCATTCCAACTCCACTATTGTCTTACACTGAATTAATTCCAACTCCACCACTGTCTTACAATGAATTCATTCCAACTCCACAGTTGTCTTACACTGAATTCATTCCAACTCCACTACTGTCTTACACTGAATTCATTCCAACTCCACCGTTGTCTACACTGAATTCATTCCAACTCCACCACTGTCTCTTACACTGAATTCATTCCATGAAATAATATATAATCCAGCATCTAGTCAACTTATTTTGTTTGTTAAACAATCCCTGAAAAGTCAGGTACCTGGTTAAGTAAAAAACTAGATAGACTAGTCTTTGTTAGAAAGGCACCCTTTAAAATGTCTGAAATGCATATACGTAATGTTTAGATTTGATGATAACAATGAGACTGCATCATAACATAGGGTCTACACAGTATAGACTTATCAATGACAGGGTTAACGGTTAACAGGATAAAACATCATTCACACATAAGACACTATCATATTGTTGTAACAAAAAGGATGAACACAATCTGGTGGAGATCATGTATTTAGGATGGCTGACGTTGGTCTGTATATATCTCAAAGAAATTGAGGACTTGGATGCCAACCATCATCAATGTACCTGAAATGTCAAAATCTTCTATAGAGAATCTACAAACATAGAAGCTCTGAAGCTGATCCTAAAATCACCAGGTCACTTAAGTAGTAGATCACGGATTGCCATATTGAGACATTTGATAACCAGCAGTTTAGAGCCTCTAAAGCAAAATTGGCCATCTTGGTTGAAATACAGTTCATTGAATGTCTGCCTTCTTCCTTCAGTGTCATAACAGATTTCACAATGACATGCATACAATTTTATCATGAATCTGTTCTGTATCGTGACCCTGTTCTGTATCGTGACCCTGAACTGTATCGTGACCCTGAACTGTATCGTGACCCTAAACAGTATCGTGTCAAGACTTTCTCTTTGTCACATAACAGTTGTGACTCAGGATGTAGCCTTGCTATCATCATCCATCTCATCATTTACGTCATCCTCATCCATGACCTTGAACACACCCTTCACCTCCCTCAACGTTTTCTTAGACTTCTTCACAAATGAACCATCTAAAATGAAATCAATGACACAAAATAAAAACAGATATGCAACTACTGGATAACATTTTCTATAATTTTTCAAACTAAGCAGAATAATTAAAATAAATTAAAATAATTTAAATCTAAACTAAAATAAGTCTCGGAAGATATCACTGCCTCTGTTTTCATTAACGTATCACCATTTTGAAGAATTTGCCTCAGTTGTCAAAGTGACCTTGACCAATGACCAAACAATTAGGTGTAGAACTTGATGTTATGTGGAAAAACATAAAACAAATCGAAGATATTGATTCAGAGCGAAAAGAATGGGACGGACAGATATGGTTAACAATGTCCTCACCCTCCTTCCCTTAAAATACTGGGGGAAACAATACAAAATCTTACATTACTACTGTAAGGTATGATAGACATCACAAAAAATTCCGATCACATGTTGTTGTCAAATCAGTGAAATTTTAGGGGAAAATTAGATTTCCCTTTAGGACCGACCCTTCACAGACTTCCTTGTAAACATTTCATTCTAACCATGACTCACCATCCTTGTTTCCAGAGGCCTTCCACTGCTCATATAGGTCAGACCGATCTAAGAGTCGTTCCAGGTCACGCTTACTGATCACACTGCTTGTTCCACCACTGTTCACTGCCAACTGGTGGTCATTGGACTTCAGAAGGTCCATTAACTCTAGCTGGGTTAGTGGCTGCAGGCTTGTAGTGAAGTTTCTAATGCCACTTTTAAACTTCTCTGCAAAGGAGAAATTGTGGTACATGTGACTTTTTACCTGGTACTAAAATGGCTCGTTCTACAATTAAGGTATCAATACAAATAACATACAACAAACATCCTTGGCAACTCAGTTTTTTTTCTATATTTTATATTTAATGAATGGTATATCTTGCTATCTTCAAGTGAATACTTTATTGCTTCAAAGGTAAGCAGACAGATATTTTGGAACATTTTCTTCAGGTTGGTAATGTCAATTATAACACAACCAGTAGAAGATTAGAGTGTGACATTTCCATGACTAACCAGTCACCTTTATCTTATAACACAACCAGTAGAAGGTTAGAGTGTGACATTTCCATGACTAACCGGTCACCTTCATCAGACAAACCACCAGTGTGGAGTATAATAGCAATGAGGTACGTAGTGCACAAGATGGTATGGAATCCACCAACTTTTTCAGCTGCACTATAATCCTATGTACACTAAGGTTGAAAATATTGTGACGAGATGGTAAAAAGATTACAGACATAAAAAATTCACCAGATGGTAACAATGTACTGTAGTCAATTCGGCTACATTTTATTTAACACTTGGCCATAGATGTGCGAGAGGGTTAGGGTAAGGGTCTCCAGATGTGCGAGAGTCCCTATTAAGTGCTGTCCCGCTGCTGCATATCCAGATGGCTTCTTGACCAACAGTCTGAAATAAATGGTTGTTTTCCCTGTCGGCTATTTTGGAATTTTCCCGGTCAATTCCTTACCATCTTGAACACTACATACGTCAGTGCTAGCACATTTCACTCTTGTCATTTGTCTGATGAAGATCACTGTGTAGTCATCGAAATGTCGCACTCTAAACTTCTACTAGTTGTGTTATAAAAACTTCTATTCAATAAGTATGCAGAGATTTGTCTACACATAGATCTTTTTTTTTCCCAACTAGATAGTGTCTAGACACGACCCAGCTCCCATGCATATGACCTTTGACCCTTTAACCTTGACCAATGACTACCTTTATCAAATAAGAACTTGCATTATGGTACTATTGAAAAAAATATATAAAAACTTCTTTTTTATCTAAAGGATCCTGAAAGACATTGTTCAGAACTTGAAATGATATATCAAGATGCAGTGAAAAGACAAGGTTAACAATACATATACTGAGCTTAAAATTGACATATGACTTCATAATATTGACACACTAACAATCTCATCATGAGGACTGCTGGGGACAATGTACCATTTCATAGATGGAAAAGATAAATTTGTGGATGATTCAGATCAACAAACCGGAGACTTACCTTTATGAATTACCATTTTCTCTATTTTTCTCTTGGCTGCTGCTCTCTCCACAATACGCTGGTCAACAGTATTGGCAGTGATAAAGCGATACACACATATTGGTTTTGTCTGTCCGATCCTGTGACATCGATCCTGTGCCTGCAGGTCACACTGGGGATTCTAGGAGATTGACAGAATACACCACTTTGTTTAACATTATTTGACAGAGTATCAAAATTCATAACATCTTAGATTCAACCCTTGTTGTGATTAGTGTAATGGTCAGGTTCAATGTCTATTTAATGTTAATCTGATTCATTCAAACAAGGCTGGAGGTCACTAAACACATCACAGACATCAGTAATGGTCCATTCAAACAAGACTGGAGGTCACTCAACACATCACAGACATCAGTAATATGATGAAGCTGTATTTCTTAGCACATCATAAGACAGAATATCTGGATAGATATCTTGTTTCATTACAAGTAGGTAATACGACTGATTTCTTTTCAACGGTTTAAAGACATCTCCTTAACAATTCACAACTATAAACAGGTTCATTAAGCAAGACTGAACACAATTCTCCATTACACCCTAATTACTACTTCCTGAACATAAATCTAGTCATGCTTTTAGAAAATCTGAAATAGCCGCATTACAGTCGAGACATGTCAATGATGTCGAAACCTGAGTCAACTACAAAACTGTTCTTAGATGTGATTACATCTACAATCTGAAATATGTATCACTGACCCCAAATTTAACAATAAACACATTGAGTTAAATGGTTCATGCTGTATCTATGTCATCAAACTTACCCAATCACTGTCATAGATAATGACTGTGTCCGCGGCCACCAGGTTGATACCAAGTCCTCCTGCCCTGGTGCTCAGGAGGAAAAGGAACATCTCCGGGTCAGTGTTAAACGATGTCATCTGTAAAATGACAAGAGATTACAATGAAGCTAAGAGAGATGATATAGTGAACTTCAAGCACAACAGGACAGAGAAATCAAAAAGTTTTCAACACGACCACAGCTATCATACTTTTCTTCTGAAGTCGGGACATCAACTTACTGATTCCTGTCGGGTTTGAACATTACAAGAGCCATCCAGACGACAAAATTTGTAGGATCTCAAAAAGCAGAAATCCTCCAGGATATCCAGCATGGTGGTAAACTGGGAAAAAATCAGCACCTACAACAGACATACAGAATTTACTGTGAGCCTTCAGTGAACATTATCACTCAATACAGAATTTACTGTGAGCCATCAGTGAACATTATTACTCAATACAGAATTTACTGTGAGCCATCAGTGAACATTACTCAATACAGAATTTACTGTGAGCCATCAGTGAACATTATTACTCAATACAGAATTTACCGTGAGCCATCAGTGAACATTATTAATCAATACAGAATTTACTGTGAGCCATCAGTGAACATTATTACTCAATACAGAATTTACTGTGAGCCATCAGTGAACATTATTAATCAATACAGAATTTACCGTGAGCCATCAGTGAACATTATTAATCAATACAGAATTTACCATGAGCCATCAGTGAACATTATTACTCAATACAGAATTTACTGTGAGCCATCAGTGAACATTACTCAATACAGAATTTACCGTGAGCCATCAGTGAACATTATTACTCAATACAGAATTTACTGTGAGCCATCAGTGAACATTATTACTCAATACAGAATTTACTGTGAGCCATCAGTGAACATTATTAATCAATACAGAATTTACTGTGAGCCATCAGTGAACATTATTAATCAATACAGAATTTACTGTGAGCCATCAGTGAACATTATTAATCAATACAGAATTTACTGTGAGCCATCAGTGAACATTATTAATCAATACAGAATTTACTGTGAGCCATCAGTGAACATTATCACTCAATACAGAATTTACTGTGAGCCATCAGTGAACATTATTACTCAATACAGAATTTACCGTGAGCCATCAGTGAACATTATTACTCAATACAGAATTTACTGTGAGCCATCAGTGAACATTACTCAATACAGAATTTACCGTGAGCCATCAGTGAACATTATTACTCAATACAGAATTTACTGTGAGCCATCAGTGAACATTACTCAATACAGAATTTACTGTGAGCCATCAGTGAACATTATTACTCAATACAGAATTTACTGTGAGCCATCAGTGAACATTATTACTCAATACAGAATTTACTGTGAGCCATCAGTGATCATTATTAATCAATACAGAATTTACTGTGAGCCATCAGTGAACATTATTAATCAATACAGAATTTACTGTGAGCCATCAGTGAACATTATTAATCAATACAGAATTTACTGTGAGCCATCAGTGAACATTATTACTCAATACAGAATTTACTGTGAGCCATCAGTGAACATTATTAATCAATACAGAATTTACTGTGAGCCATCAGTGAACATTATTAATCAATACAGAATTTACTGTGAGCCATCAGTGAACATTATCACTCAATACAGAATTTACTGTGAGCCATCAGTGAACATTATTAATCAATACAGAATTTACTGTGAGCCATCAGTGAACATTATTACTCAATACAGAATTTACTGTGAGCCATCAGTGAACATTATTAATCAATACAGAATTTACTGTGAGCCATCAGTGAACATTATTAATCAATACAGAATTTACTGTGAGCCATCAGTGAACATTATTAATCAATACAGAATTTACTGTGAGCCATCAGTGAACATTACTACTCAATACAGAATTTACTGTGAGCCATCAGTGAACATTATTAATCAATACAGAATTTACTGTGAGCCATCAGTGAACATTATTAATCAATACAGAATTTACTGTGAGCCATCAGTGAACATTATTAATCAATACAGAATTTACTGTGAGCCATCAGTGAACATTATTAATCAATACAGAATTTACTGTGAGCCATCAGTGAACATTATTAATCAATACAGAATTTACTGTGAGCCATCAGTGAACATTATTAATCAATACAGAATTTACTGTGAGCCATCAGTGAACATTATTAATCAATACAGAATTTACTGTGAGCCATCAGTGAACATTAATCAATACAGAATTTACTGTGAGCCATCAGTGAACATTATTAATCAATACAGAATTTACTGTGAGCCATCAGTGAACATTATTAATCAATACAGAATTTACTGTGAGCCATCAGTGAACATTATTAATCAATACAGAATTTACTGTGAGCCATCAGTGAACATTACTCAATACAGAATTTACTGTGAGCCATCAGTGAACATTATTAATCAATACAGAATTTACTGTGAGCCATCAGTGAACATTATTAATCAATACAGAATTTACTGTGAGCCATCAGTGCTTCAAAGAATTGTTTTCAAGTATTGTATTTTAAGAAGATAACACAAAACCTCATTAACTATTTTCAATGCAACATGGAGGATGATGAAACCCAATGAATAAATCATCTACACAGTCAAACTAAACATTGCAATACATGTACTTGACCCTGAAGCTTTTGAATTTAACATTTATTTTAAAACAATTGTTTTTTAAACTTATATTAAGCACTCTTGTTGGCCTGATGGAAGTGTGCACTATGTCTTACTGTGGAAGGAAACCAGAATACCCGGAGGAATCCCACTTGGTTGGTAAGTGACCCCTACCATCTGTTCCAGCATCAAACCCCAGACATTTAGGTGAATGCCAAGTGTGTTACCACTGCACCACCTGACCATCCTGAAGCCTCTTCATATTGCCACCTTGGATCATTTATCTCTTGTCTCTGATGAATAAATAACCTAATAACTTCTCACCTTGTGACCTCTGACCTTCAGCTCCTTCAGCATGCGATCCAATAACAGCATCTTTCCACTCTTCCTGATGACATCCTCATCAACCTTGAAGTTGCCTGTCCCAGGGTCAAGTGGGTATTCTAACAGGTAAGGGTGATTACAGCACTTACGTAGCTGCATCACCACATTGAGAAGTTTAATGGTTACCTGGGAGGTAGGTGTAGCAACATCCCTAGCTGGTGTCCTGAAAGAATTTTATCAAATTTTCTATTAACTTGAAAATATCTTTAAGACTTGTTCTCTATCTATCTAACCGCTTAGAGTTTGTCTAAACTGGCCCCTCCTGAATTTGGACACTTGTCAACCCCAAATAGTTAGTCTAAGCTAGCCAATATTTAATATAAACACTCATCTCTTAAGCTTTATACATAAAATGTCTATTTGATTAATTACCTATTTTTGGCCTGTGCCCTAATTTGATTATCTAAATACTTACTAATATGACCTTATTGAGTTATATATTTAAATCAATGACCTAATTTGGTCGGTTACAATTAAGTTATATAATTTTTAATAAATAATCTTCTTTGTTAAGTTACATTCTTAAAATCTGAAACCATAAATGTTTGTATTACTAATCAAAGACGGATTAGTTGATTCATTTTAACTTATATGGATGCAGTTTTTAGTTGATGCATAAGAACGTGATGTTGTTTTTCTTTCGACTCACAAAGTAGATTTTTTTGTCTCCTCGTTGATAGCAGCTATCCATGAAGCCAGGTGTTCCTCGTCATCGTCTATTCCTTTCTGTGTTTTCTTTAGCTCAGCACGATCTGCCTCTTCTGCCATCATCAGCTGGTAGTTTACTTTTTTCTTGGTTGTCCTCCTTACCGGACGCCCTTTCTCATTTACTTCAACTTTCTCTTCAGGTTTCTACACATACATTTAAGTATACATACAATTTCAAAAAATCTGTGTAAATGACTAACATTTGTAATTACAAAAATAAGATATTTAAAACAGAGAGACCAGTGTTAAGGATAATTGTGTAAAAATAAGGAGAACTTTTCACTAGGGTGAGGGGAAGGAAGGGAGAAGAAGTTGATATTTACACCTGGGCAGGTGGGCTAAATGATTATGTTAACAACATCATTTCATTAATTAACTTTGTTTTATCCTTTAGTGAAAGTTCTCAGATGAATTCATGAATTATTTTCCACATAATATAAGTTTGCTTGCTGGGTAATCCACCCACGAGCAGCCAGAGTCATTTTGGGGAGGGGTTTCCTTGTAGCAGCTGGTGGTTACATGACTGAACAAAATACAAGAGGTCCATTGCATCTAGAGCAACTGGGGTCAATAGATAAACATAAACCATGACAGATCAGTCTGTTTCTCAGCTTCCTGAGAAACACAAACCTCCATGTGTAGTGAACATCATGCAACACATCTCAGATTTTCACCAGAGGTTGCACGGACACACGCCATACTAACTATGCTCTCGTGGTGCCCTTCTGAAAAACCTACCTTTGTGGACTTTACACGCTGTAAAATGGTACGATCTATGAGACTGCTGTAAAACTCCTCCTGTATTTTAGTCAGAGGGGCAAACACCATAATTTCTTTCTTAGGTGGAATGTTCAACTCCACATCCTGCTTCAGCCTCCGAAGCATAAAGGGTGTAAGAATCTGTGAAACAGAATACAAGGCACATTATCAACTGAGAAAGTTAACACGATACATAAACATCTATGAAAGTTAACACGATACATTAACACCTGTGAAATTTAACCCAATACATTAACACCTGAGAAAGTTAATACAATAATCAACACATTAACAATTATAGGGTGTGACAAGGCTAGGATGTATATTATCCTACCTGGTGTAACATCGACAGAATGTTCATCTTTTGTTCTTCTTTCACAATTTCTTCATCAGCATTACTTGCTGTCAATCTGTCTACATCAAACCAGGCCTCAAAACTGGAAAATAAACCAACAACATCACTACCAAGAAAACAAGAGTGGTAACCAAATATCAGAGCTTCTAATGAAAGACATACTACAATTCTAAATAGATCTTAAAAATACACTGGAGCTGCAAATAAAAGGACATACACATGGGAGAAAAACCTATTCTGACCAGCAATAAAAAAAGCACTTATTTAAAATCAGAAAACCTGAAAACCTAACTTTCAACAATGTCTCATCAAAGATTCTGATGTTAAATCCAAGTAAATGTTGACAAGATTTTTTCACAACTTCAGCTTTGATTCGGTGTAAGTCCAACTGACCTGCCCAAGTCATCAAAGATTTCTGGGAGGAGGAAATTGAGAAGTGACCAGAGCTCGGATAAGTTGTTCTGTAGTGGTGTGCCAGTCAGGAGAAGTCTGTGTGTGTTCCGGTAGAGGCGAAGTTCCCTACACACAAAAACATAGCATTTCTGTATTACAAGTCTTATTCATCAAATATAAAAAGTAAGAACTAGACCTTTTTTTCAACTGACATTATCTGACTCCTAAAGCAAATTGCTCCCTAATCTGTCAATATTCTTCTCACAATATGATAAAGGTCCGATACTAAATCATAAAGCAAATGCTGAGTCTGTACATTATTGCTTGTAGTTGTTTAATACTGTAAGGTAATACTTGATTAGACTGATTTATACATCTACAGATGACCACTTTGAAATTTCAAAAAGAGATCAATTATGGGAGAAAGTGTCCTACCTGATCAAGCGACAATGTGTGTTTTTGATGAGATGACCTTCGTCTACTATGAGATATTTCCACTCGAAGGAGCTGAGCAGCTTGCGGTCTACAGATGACCACTTTGAAATTTCAAGAAGAGATCAATTATGGGAGAAAGTGTCCTACCTGATCAAGCGACAATGTGTGTTTTTGATGCGATGACCTTCGTCTACTATGAGATATTTCCACTCAAAGGAGCTGAGCAGCTTGCGGTCGATAATTGTGATCTCATAGGAGGTGATAACTACTGGCTGGACTTCCACATCCTTCTTCACAGAATACTTCTTGTACATCTTCATCCTGAGCCGAGTTCTCTCATCCTTGTGTCCATGGTACAGAATGACAGGCACCTAAAGTAGCCAATCAGATGGAAATGAATAATCAAACCACAAAAGTGTAGACAAACCTGTCTACTGCTCAACTGCAAAAAAAAACTATCAGGAAGCAAAAATTCCTTTTTTTATCTTCAAAATCAGTATTTGTTTGCCATGATTTCCATTTGATCATCGAACAGTACAAAAATGTTTAGTAACACTGTTAATGACCTGTTAGTAGCAATGCACAATCACTTCTCAAAGGAACAGGCCTATTTAAGACTTGTATCTTCTATAGTATTTATCCCAGATTAAGTAGTAAAGAACTAATGCACTTCAAATAAAGTGTTAATTCTGCTGTGAATATGAAATAAATCTGAAGATGAGTCCAAGACATATCTCATACCTGAAAGTTTGGTGCTACAGATGGATGAATAGATGCTCAAAAAAAAGGATTACTATTTACCCCTCAACCCAAATTTTACTTCGTAGCAGAAATTGAAAATACTATTGAATAAAGACTTCCTTTTCAATATTTATGAAAAACATCCACTGATGATATCTCCAACATGGATTAAACTTGAGACATCCAATCCTCTGATCTGAGATATACTTTGCCATGTAAAGCTCAACTAGTTCCTTACCTTCGGCGCAAACCTCTTGAACTCTGCATACCAGTTAGGCAGAGTAGAGAGCGGGGCACAGACTATAAAAGGCCCAGGCACACCCATCGATACCAAGTGAGCCAACATCGCTATACACTGTATGGTCTTTCCCAGCCCCATCTCGTCACCAAGGATACCATTGACGCCATTCTCGTACAGCGTCTGAAACAGAAAAGTTTTCACCGCTGTCAGGCAATTATCTAGTGATCGGAAATAGTTAAATCCATATTGATTATCATTTAAATTTCAAATAGATTTTCCATTTAATTAATAAGATTACATAATGGTCTAATCACCACCATTATCAGTGACCTAATTCTGGTATATCAATGTAATAAAGACAGTTTCACAGCTGAATCAAATTGGAGATCTAACACAGAAATAACAAAAGTAACTACACACCAGTCACAGTCTGCTTACATAAGACTCCAAATAAGTATAAGAGAAAGGTTTTATTATGCAAAGACATTTACCATCAAATTTCACATTATGTGTTTGACAGGATTTGATAAAACTCTGGTTTCTTCCTACAATTACCCATCTGGTTCCATCCTACGTCTTATAATAAATCCAGTCCTATATTAAGTCTTAGTTTGGTGGCACCCTTGGTTTATCATTAGATATGCTAAGACTTACCTTGAGCCAGGTAAATCCTTCTGACTGGTATTGTCTCAGTGTTCCACCACTGAACAGTTTTGGCTGCACAAATGGCATGCTGGTATCATATTCTTCAGTCTGATAAAATAGAATCATTCTGTCCATCAAACAAGGGTAACATATCTCACATTAGAATGTCAAGAACAAAGTATATTTACACCATAGATTTTATAAAGCTACACCACAAACTCATTTATACATTGGTACATATTTACAAGTACAACCATGATTCATCATTTCAGTTTCCTCTCACACAAGGTGGCAGCGAAACTCTGCTAATAGCTTGGCCCACATAACCTTAGGTGAATATCTGAGGTGCATGATTTAACTCTTTAACCGTGGCAGTTTGTTTCTCAGGATGCTGTCTTTGTTGTGCCTGAGGGTGTGACTTATTACTGAAATTGTTCTGAATGATATGCAATTGACCTCCGACATATCTGTTGTTCAATGACGTGGTCACCACCTACTACAAGGAATGCAATCTCAAGAAGGCCCAGGAACCCTGTTCTCAAAGCTTCTGTTCACTCATTTAGAAAAGGGCCTTTTTAACTCATTTAAGGAAGAAAATTTATTGATTCGGAAGGAAATTTTTAGGATTAAATTATACCTTTGGAGAATTTGTTCATTCTATAAAATGAATCCAAATGAATCCAACTTAAACTGGGGTCCATATTCAGTCCCACAGAGCTCTCAGAAAAAACAAGAGATCCCAGAGGGATCTTGGCATCTATCATTGTTTCGATCTTTATATGCTCTTTGAAAGCTGGATCCTTTCCCTTCTTTTCTCTTCTCTGTATTTGTTCTTAATGATAAACCTTTAGAACATCTCCTTGCAGAAATAGTGATAATAATTTTTACCTGCAAAATCCAAACTGGCCACCTGGAAACCATTTTGTTTCTTCTGATGGAGTACTTTTAAAGAAATAGCGATAACACACTTTCAAAGTAAAAATCCAAGATGACCCCGTCTTTCAGCAATTTTGTTTTTCTTATCAGTCTCAAAATTACATGGAAACAACTAGAGACCAAGGGAAACATACATATGAAATTTATGAAAGATACATCAAGAACTGCTCAATAAATAGCGATAACAAAGTATACATGCTCAAGGAATTCGGGTCAATATCCTCTTATCCAGTCTTTTATAATCTAAATTCCCACACCAACACCGATTAAAATTAGAAACAGTTGACAAAACACACGTTTCTATTCCTATAAATCTGTTTAGGACAGCACTAGCATTGATTCAGAAAGGATCTTGGTTGTACTTAACCCTCATACCCGAGATAAAATATCAAGGGCATTGATAGGCAGTTTTTAATTACAGCCACATGAAGTGAATGCTGTGTTGCAGGTATTTCAATACCATCAACATATAGTGCTTTGTTATTTACCAGTACTTTTGTCCATCTAAACTCAGTAAGATAGTTACCTCATCATCATCTTCTACCAGCTTTGTTTCACTGTTCACCTCATTGACCTTCATATCTTCCTCTGTTTTTTCTTCCAGGGGTGTTTTATCCAATAATGGATCACCTTTGCTAGATTGTAAGGTTTTGCATTTTTCAGTTGTGTTTGATTTTTCTGCAGAGTCAGATTTCTCATCATCCTTCTTCGGTTTCTTTTCCATTGGCTGTTTAAACATAAAGAATGTAGATATAAAAACACTCACATCCTATAATATCAAATCTGATATTTATACCTGTGATTGCTATTTTCTGCATAAACTTCTGAAAGTTGTTTTCTTTTCTTGACAGTTGTCAATTCATGAATGTGATATTTTGAAAAAATCATAAGCAGTGCTTATAGACTTAAAAACACTTCATATACCATATCCAATGTTCTAATGTCTGAAGTGCCTAACTTGGAAGCCATATTACACTAGTTTGCTGATTGCTTAATTTTGAAGATATATCACATAACTTTACTGACTGGCTAACTTTGAAGTTGTATCACACAAATTTACTGATTGCCTAACTTAGAAATCATACAGTACAAATTTACTGATTGCCTAACTTAGAAATCATACAGTACAAATTTACTGATTGCCTAACTTTGGTATTCATATTAAAAATGTAATGCCAACCAAACTGATCAGTAAAAATCCCAATGGAAGCATTTCTATGAAATTAACAAGTGAAAACTTGCCATGAAAAGTAATGTGAACTTACATTGAAAAACTTTGAAATGTTAGCTCCCTCTACCGCTTCAACCTTTCGTTTTCTTCCACGCTTCTTACCAGTGGTTTCTGAAAATGAATTAATTATTTGAGGATGGCATAAAATTACCATGAAATAGATACTTTAGAAAAACATGAAATAGAGGCAACTTGTTTATTTAATGACCTCGGAGAAAAAACATTCATTCTGCTCCAAGACCAAAAAGAGTGTGTCATCTAAAAATAGTCCAAATGTGGAAAAGACATCACTTTTTGAACACTCGATAAAAGCTTGAAACAGGCTAAGATCAAGTTACTGAATACGGCTCATACAGGTTTTGTAAAATCTCATTCCATAACATTTTTCAAGAACTCTGAAAATACTTAGCAGTGATATCAATCTGAATATTCTTTTCAGTTATGAGTCTTGAATATCTACTTTGTTAACATTCCCACATTTAAGGGAGATAATCCTATTTGGGGGATTTCAGGTTGCACATCAAATTATCAACAAAAAAAAACAAATATAGGTTATGATACTCTTGAGAATTGTTTTTACAGGTATATTAATTATTGTATTTCATATTTTTATTCTAACACTAACGATATGACTTCAAAGACTTTTCATGGCGTTAATGCCATGTTCCAAGACTTTCCAGACCTGACACTATCTTCCAAGACTTTTCCAGGAAAGGACTGAAATTCAAAGACTTCATACTTACATGAACAATGATGAAAGTAAATCTTCGTCATTTAAATTCAATATGATAGTGCACCTATCCCATGTTTCCACTTTACCTGTTTCACTTGTAGAACTATTTTGTGACCCCTGTGAACTTTGTGAACTCTGGGTTTTCTTAGACGTCCTGGTTCGTGTGGATCTCGGTGATGGAGCTATGTCCGCTGCCTGAGGTGAGTAGCCAGAATGCTGAGGTATGGAGGATTTTAGCGGGGAAGACAATGATTGTGTCACTGTATCTGTAAGCATTAGCACACTTTTAGTATACATTAATGAATTAACACTGTGGTTAGTCTCGAAGTTTTCAGGTATAAAGAGGTTGGTTAATCTATCAAATAATGACACATCAAAATTATCCACATCAACCTTTTTATGTACACTATTTACAATATCATCAACTACATTCAATACCTTCTTCCTTTGCGATTTCCTGACTCTTTGCCTTCTCTTGCTCCTGGAAAAAAAATTGTAATTGAAATTCTTGTAGTTTTAGTCATTATTAATCTTGGATTGGAGAGAGAAGGGGTAAATATCACATCTCTTTGCATCATTCAAATCTGAAATCAATTTCTTTTCCCAAAAAATATATTTCCTATATATCCTAGAAATCATCGTGTGAACTTATATTTACCATAAGATCAGGAAAGATAATTTTCAATCTTAAACAATTAATTACAATTGCAACATAATGCCACTTCCATCTTTTTTAGTTCGGTTCATCAACCTTTACAATTTCCTATGAAAAAACAAGGTGTGTGGTTCAATGTCTTGTTAGACTTGTATCAGTTTGTGAGGAATCTGAGAAATTTCACCCCAATTGCTTCAAGTCCTATGGGACAGACCTTCTAGATGATGTAAAGAGAGGTAAACACCACTATCACCTATAAATTACCATGGCTGTTAATGAAACATTAATTCTACCATAGTTCAAGTAATGTTGCCTCTTTTTAACTATTTCCATTTGATAAATAATCTTCACACAGTAGGTCAACATCATGCCTCAGATTACAAAGATGTATTTTCATTTGAGTTACAGTCTCATAGATAGCAGCATTGTAGAAAAATACAAAGAGCCAGGTAAGCTATAGATGTTTATCTGTTGAGTACTCTATTAATAATATAAAAGATTATGAATTCTACCTCAAGTGCCTTCTTTTTCTTTTCCTCTGCCTTTACTCTTCGTTTTTCCCTTAGTTCATTTTTCCTTTTCTCCTCCTCGCTCTGCTTCTTCATCCTTTCCAGTAGGTACTGAGTGTACATGTTACTTTTACTCAATAAAAACTGCAGCCTCTTGTAACGTTGTTCTTTTATCTCACTGTCCAGATCCTCCCATAACTAATAGAAAAGACACAGTAATGAAAAATGAGTTAGCTCCCTTCTTTTCACTTCCTTTTTAATAAGACATTGTAATATCATCAACAGGAAGCAGAAGAGTTGGATAAGTTATAATTAAGACAGTACATCAGAGAAGGATTTTCTCAGCATGACAGCATGCAGTATAAGTAACATATGGCAATAGGTAAACTTTGGTTGGTCACATAACTGAGATAAAAATTTTCCCGTTTTACCCCCCTTCCCCTAAAAGGCTTGTAAAAAAATTCATTTTCCAAAATAACACAAAAAGAAAGATAAGAAGTATCCTCCAAAACATTTCTTAATTTTCCTAATCAATACAAGCACTGGCAGGTACAAATTCAGACAGAAGGAAATATGTGGCATACTGTGGTTAAGAACATGATTAACTTGGTAAGCAAGTACATTTATTATTGCATTAAGGGTACAAACTTTGAGTGAGAGTGGGAGGACAAAACTGACCATGTCTAACAGATCTCACACGCCTCGGAAAAGACTAATTTTGGACGGTGGCAAGATATTTCTCTATTATCATAATGTATTTTTAACTTATTGTTCAAAATTTTATTAGGTCATAATAATAGGTTTTGCAGATGAAGTTTGTTGTGTAGCATGTGATATAGCCCAGACAATCACATTGGCCATAACAAGATGAGTTAGTCTTAGAGGAATTACAGAACTGGCATTTGAACTAGAAGCTACAAATAGACATAATTGGTTGCTTCTTTGATGATAACTGAGAATCTACATAAAATAACATATTTATTCAATATTACTGTAAAATATTACATACATTGTATATTATGTCTTGGATGTAAGTACAGGCTTGAAGTTAAAATCACAAGGACCAGCACTGGACAATGTCTTTACTCAAAATCAAAAACTAAAACAATATATAATTCAACGCAGCTATGTTCTGTGATCTTAGCTTTCACTTTGGTGTATAATATAGTACAAAATCATTCAGACTAGTAAAACTTTCCTTCATCTGGTAAACTTTCCTTGTTTAACTGAAATTTCACTTTTCAAAAAAAGATTTCATCAATAAAACTTATTGTTGACATTTTTAATTATATTCCCAACAGTTCAGTAAATTTTTAAAGAGTTTGGCAAACACTTTAGGAGAAAACTCACTCTGCATATACATCCTTGATTGGTGTGGTCTTCCTTAAGGGAGATAACTCATCTTTCCATACTCATCTTCCACTTACAATGTAATTATTGAGAAACAACTCACCTTTGTTTATTCATTTCATGTTTTGTCTTCTATAGCACAAATCAACATGGGCCAAAGGAGATAATTCAAAGTGTTCATCTCTGTTTTCAATCTTTGTCTTTACTGAAACAACTTAAAGGGGATAATTTTCTCTTTTACAAAATGACAAGCCAATGGAGAGAACTCACATTTGCATGCTAATCTGGTTTTTTTCTGTTCCATTAAACCATTTAAACAAAAGGAGGTAGCTCACCTTTGCATGTTCATCTCTCTGTTTTTTATCTTCTTCTTCCCCCTCCTTGTTCAGTTGTTCTTCCTCTGCAATCATCTGTTTTGTCACCAATGACTGGTCCTTTTTAATAACATCACCATCTCCTTCCTGTTGAGTCAGAATATTTGACATCAATAACATCATCCTAAGAAATTTGGAAACTACTGATAGCATCGGTTTCTTCCTGAAATATCCCATTTCAATGCAGATTTAAAAGCTTTGGCTTAATTTTAGAATTTCTTTTTATCCAAATGTTATGTGAATTATAGGATGTCACTTACGTCCATAGCCATTGAGGATTCCTCTTCATCCAACTCTGAAATAAAGGATGACAAACTGGTTTAAAATAGTTGTTTGAATAGTTTAAGCATTCTTTCATTTATTTAATTCTGAATGATAGACGTGGGGGACATCAACCTCTTTCTCTCAAATTAATGCAATCTTTTATATTCAATTTATAATAGTCTATAGTTAAAGCAATATTTTTATAAACCAAGCAATCAGTATCACCTTGTTTAGCACTGATATTAGCATCCTCAACACTAGAAGCTGTTATGGCGAGATTCTGGTGAGCATCCTCTCCCGGCTCATGAGCCTCATCTTTAGGCAGAACAGGTGACTTGCTTCTTTTCTCTGTTGTTTCTGTATCTGGAGTGGCCTCCTTAGCTGTATCACTCCTAAAATTTCACAATGAAGGGGCAAATTAGACAAGTTCTGAAAACAACCAGTTCATAAGTTTACAAACTATTCAACTTATAAGCTGTTGTAAATAACTTGATATCTCTCATAAACATCACTGCATATAATTCAAACAATTTTATCTCATTTAAATTCTTTAGATTTTAAAATTGTGTGCGATACAAATAAGAGATGGTCACAAGCCATCAGAGTTCATGCCTATGTGGTCTGGTGTAGCGTGAACATCGGAGAACAACTTTTAACCGGAAATGAATGAATGCAAATTCGCATTAATATAATTACTCGGTGTGTATCAATAATAGTCTGACATTTCAAATTGCGATACTTACATTTTTTCCGAGGATGGAACCTAGGTAACGGTAAATAATACCGTATTTAACAGCTGATTGCAGCAAGACTGGTGTAGCCGTCAGAGACAAAAACAGATGCACTCTTCAATGTGTTTATGATGAAATGTAACAATTGTAAATTCACAGAGAAAGTCGTTTCCACTTCGATCTTTCTGCACACCTTTTTTTGTCAGTGGTATGTCAGCATGTTTGATCTTACTTTTCACGCCAGGTCTTCTCGGGTCTTACACAACAGTCTTCTTTTCCCGCCACTGGCAGGGGGCGCTGTGTAATAAACCGGTGATACCGGAAATGGAATTCCCTGAAGGCTTCCTCAAGGGACCGTCTGTAAAACATTTTCACACCTGATACGATTCGGTCATAATTACAGTATCCGATGCAAATTAATTATCATACCATCCGATCTAGAAGTGTAGTAATGTTATGTCACGACAATCGTTTTGATTTTTTTAGGAAATGGATTGGTAGGAACTTGACAAAAACCCGATTTTTTCTATTCGGCACTTTTGAGACTCAAGGTAGATTCCTAGAGGCGAAATTTCAACGATTCTATTAATGTGTCAACACTTTTCCAGCCTCTTCCATTGTTGATTAATAAATTTGATTATTGGTTAAATGTTAAAAATGTAATGTACATCGGAAGTAAACAAATTATTATATTATATCTATAATTCACGGATATGGTTATAAAGAGGCTTACAGCTTACATCCATTATGTTTCGTATTAAATTGTATCAAATAACTTTTAATACTGCGTTATTAGCGATACTTGGCTAACTAGCTAAGTTGGACAACTGTTGTCCACGCTTATAACACATGTATTTTACAGGATTACAATACAGGTATTTTACAGGATTACAAAACAGGTATTTTACAGGATTACAAAACAGGTATTTTACAAGGATTACAAAACAGGTATTTTACAAGATTATAACACAGGTATTTTACAGGATTACAAAACAGGTGTTTTACTGGATTACAATAAAGGTATTTTACATCCTTATAATACAGATATTTTACAGGACTACAAAACAGTTATTTTACAGGACTACAATACAGGAATTTTACAGGAATACAATACAGGTATTTTACAGGAATACAATACAGGTATTTTACAGGATTACATAACAGGTATTTTACAAAATTACAATACAAATATTTTACAGGATTACATAACAGGTATTTTCCAGGATTACATTACAGGTATTTTACAAGATTGCAATACAGGTATTTTATAGGATTACATTACAGGTATTAGACAAGATTACAATACAGGTATTTTCATGATTACATTACAGGTATTTGACAAGGTTACAATACAGGTATTTTACAGGATTACAATCCATGTATTTTACAACCTTACAATACAAGTATTTTACAGGAATACAATACAGGTATTTGACAAGGTTACAATACAGGTATTTTACAGGATTACAATCCATGTATTTTACAACCTTACAATACAGGTATTTTGCAGGAATACAATACAGGTATTTTACAGGATTACATTACAGGTATTTGACAAGATTACAATACAGGTATTTTACAGGATTACAATCCATGTATTTCACAGGATTACATTACAGGTATTTGACAAGATTACAATACAGGTATTTTACAGGATTACATTACAGGTGTTTGACAAGGTTACAATACAGGTATTTTACAGGATTACAATCCATGTATTTTACAGGAATACAATACAGGTATTTTACAGGAATACAATACAGGTATTTTACAGGATTACATTACAGGTATTTGACAAGGTTACAATACAGGTATTTTACAAAATTACAATACAAATATTTTACAACCTTACAATACAGGTATTTTACAGGAATACAATACAGGTATTTTACAGGATTACATTACAGGTATTTGGCAAGATTACAATACAGGTATTTTACAGGATTACAATCCATGTATTTTACAACCTTACATTACAGGTATTTTACAGGAATACAATACAGGTATTTGACAAGGTTACAATACAGGTATTTTACAGGAATACAATACAGGTATTTTACATGATTACAATACAGGTATTTTACAGGATTACATTACAGGTATTTGACAAGATTACAATACAGGTATTTTACAGGATTACAGTCCATGTATTTTACAACCTTACACTACAGATATTTTACAGGAATACAATACAGGTATTTTACAGGATTACAGTCCATGTATTTTACAACCTTACATTACAGGTATTTGACAAGGTTACAATACAGGTGTTTTACAGGATTACATACAGGTATTTTACAGGATTACATTACAGGTATTTGACAAGGTTACAATACAGGTATTTTACAGGGTTACATATAGGTATTATGCTTGTGTCGTAAAAGAGACGTTAATCGTTTACTTTATATGGTCGTTAAATATTTCTTTCTGATTTCACAGAGTTACTTCCCTTCGATCACTCTGTCCAATGGTGATAGTGGAAGGGGAGGAGGGAGGTAAGATATTGAATATATTGTTATAATTATACACACGGATTCAATATCGGTATCTAAGTGTCTTATATAAGATAAAGATAAGTATATTTGACAGGCATTTATCTTACATCTGTCAAAATATTTTCGAACGATTCAGTTCTAGCACAGGGGAATGTAACGATAACTTTTAAAGTCAATCACTGAGTAGCCATAAGATGTTGATTTTTAAAGTTATCGTTATACACCCCTGTGGTTCTAGCTGAATATAAGTGTTTCCGCGTGAAAATGTAACTTCAAACTTACTTATTTGCCGCAAACAGTATACAGAAACGCGTTTTTCATATAAAACCTGCATCGCCGTAAGAAGCAAACAAATCTGTCGTTATACAGCAACACGGTGTTTACACGATATGTCACGTATTTAGCCAAGATTTTGTTAAACTCACAAGGGAGACTCCCTGCCATACCAGATAAATCAACAACTTGACTTTTATCAACGACCTTTCGTTTCATAGAATTACTTTTAAGACGCATTTCGTAGTTTTTTGCATGTTTCAACATTATAGATACGATATCGCGATAGTCATACAATGTTTTTCTTAAAGTATGCTTTCCAAATGTGATTTATTGCAGGTTTTGATGACACGAATACTCCTTCACTGGGAAACACAAGAGAATGACGTAATGGATTGTTTCTGCTGGCCCTAATTGATACCAAGAAGATTCGTATTACCTATATTTCATCTAATATTTTTATACTATAGCTTGAGAGTGCATACAAATTTTCCAGAAATTTTTGTACCCATTTTTCAGATGTTATGACAAAGCTGAACATTTTGATTTTATTTTACAATATACTAAATGCAGTTACTTATATATGAAGTGATAACCCTAAAGAATATCCCTCGTCAGGGAATTCACCTTACTGAAAAATTAATGATGGAATATTGACGACCGAGTTTGTGTCGTCCAACTCGGCGGATATTGACGACCGAGTTTGTGTCGTCCAACTCGGCGGATATTGACGACCGAGTTTGTGTCGTCCAACTCGGCGGATATTGACGACCGAGTTGTGTCGTCCAACATTTGGCGGATATTGACGACCGAGTTTGTGTCGTCCAACTCGGCGGATATTGACGACCGAGCTTCTGTCGTCCAACTTGGCGGATATTGACGACAGAGTTATGTCGTCAAACTCGGCGGATATTGACGACCGAAATGTGTCGTCCAACTCGGCGGATGTTGACGACCGAGTTTCTGTCGTCCAACTTGGCGGATATTGACGACCGAGTTTGTGTCGTCCAACTCGGCGGATATTGACGACCGAGTTTGTGTCGTCCAACTCGGCGGATATTGACGACCGAGTTGTGTCGTCCAACATTTGGCGGATATTGACGACCGAGTTTGTGTCGTCCAACTCGGCGGATATTGACGACCGAGCTTCTGTCGTCCAACTCGGCGGATATTGACGACAGAGTTGTGTCGTCCAACTTGGCGGATATTGACGACCGAAATGTGTCGTCCAACTCGGCGGATGTTGACGACCGAGTTTCTGTCGTCCAACTTGGCGGATATTGACGACCGAGTTTCTGTCGTCCGACTCGGCGGATATTGATGATATTACAGGACAGTAAACATCATGGTTTGGCTGGTTAGTTTTTTTCTCTCTCACCAAAGAATGACAGTATTTTGGCGACGCTAAGCGTCGTTATTGGCAACAGGAGCCAGGTATCTTGAACGACAATGGTTTTTAGTTGGGTAGCTAGACCGAGTCATAGCTAAGTGTCAGGGATGTTCTTTTTTAACTTTACAAGTAAATTTGGTGTGTGTAACATGCTATAGGAACGACTGGAAACGCGTAAGTCATTTTGGCGAATATCTGATATCACCCACCACCGGTACGTCCGACATTGGCGAACATCTAATAACACCCACCACTAGTACGTCAGACATTGGAGAACATCTGGTATCTTCCACCACTAGTACGTCCGACATTGGCGAATATCTGATATCACCTATCACCGGTACGTCCGACATTGGCGAACATCTAATATCACCCACCACCGGTACGTCCGACATTGGCGAACATCTAATATCACCCACCACCGGTACGTCCGCCACTGGAGAACATCTAATATCACTCACCACCGGTACGTCCGACATTGGTGAACATCTAATATCACCCACCACTAGTACGTCCGACACTGGCGAACATCTAATATCACCCACCACCGGTACGTCCGACATTGGAGAACATCTAATATCACTCACCACCGGTACGTCCGACATTGGTGAACATCTAATATCACCCACCACTAGTACGTCCGACACTGGCGAACATCTAATATCACCCACCACCGGTACGTCCGACATTGGAGAACATCTAATATCACTCACCACCGGTACGTCCGACATTGGTGAACATCTAATATCACCCACCACTAGTACGTCCGACACTGGCGAACATCTAATATCACCCACCACCGGTACGTCCGATATTGGCGAACACCTAATATCACCCACCACCTGTACGTCCGGTACGTCCGACATTGGGGAACATCTAATATTACCCACCACC